AAGACTCGATCGGCGGCGAGTGAGTTCCTCCATATATCGCAGCGCACAAACCTCAAAGGCTATCTGAAAGTTGAGCAGACCGTTTCCCTTGCATTGCCGATTACCCATGGCCCTCGACGATCCGGGGTGGGGAGGGGGAGGTGTCAAGGTCGGATGAATACGAACCATTGCATCGGATCTGAGTACAGTACAATGCACATTCCTGGATGGAGTAACTGACATATGGCCTAGATGTGGTGCGAGCGTTTCGAGAGTGAGCTTTGCTTCCGGGACATCAGGGTGGTACGGAGCAAGTTGCTGTCCATCGGGCTTGGTAGCGAGCTGCACCCTAGACATGGTTTACTATGCAGGTACGGGAGAACACATGGTCGTTCATTGGACACGCTTTCACTTGACGTCGACTGGTCTGATATAGAGTGGAGCAACAAACAACTTCCTTTGTTATCCTTGCGATAGCTGTCTTGGTCTTCGCTCAATCGAGTCATATAGTCCATGTCTAGCAACAGGATATGCGTGAAACCACGGAAGTACTGCTATGTGCAGCACAGAGAGTGCAGCACGTACATTTGCCACGTCCTTGGGGGTTCAGCTATGGTGGGTCAAGATGTATCCTTCCCTTCCATTCCCTTCTTTATTCGGTGACATCCGACGTGTCACTAGATGCCCAAGTGGCGCTGTGAATCTATCTATTTCGTACGGGGTACGGAGTACACAGTACAGTACTTGCTCATTCCCAGAACTTGCGGTCGCAATTCTTCTTCCATCTTCCCATCCAACTAATTGTCCAACTTCAATAGTAAGGCAATATTCCAGTATACTGTGCGCGGTGTTTTCTCGGTGGAAGACCGGAGTGGGATATAGTTAAAGTTAACATGCTTCCATGAATGGGCTTGTCTAGCACTAGTGAGGATAACTGCGCCGTGCGGTCGAACTGCCAGCTATATGATCACTAGCCAAATATTGAGATTGCCATAGAGATGTATGCCCAGTGGATCACATGGCTTAATGTAATCGTGACCACAATGAACAAATAACAAATCACAGAAACCAGGAGAACAGATACTGTACTCAAGTGAAGGCTACGAAGAATTTCTCTCACGGCGCACACATCAGCCCCTCAAGGCAAAAGAAGTACGACCCGATTGAGGGACTTCCCGGGGTTTAGATTGCTTGCTATGGGTCGGGGGTGGAGAGTGGACTTACGGTTTGGCAGACGATCAACAACAGTTTACGGAGTACAGTTACCGGAATATCGTGATCAGTGTACGGAGTACTTGTACCCTTGGGAATGGGGTGGGTTCCATTGGTATGGAAACTGTCATTGCCGATCGCGCGCTCACTGGGAACCTTGGAACCAAGACCCCAATTTTTGGCTTTATTGATGATTGGAACTTGGGGTTATACCTTCATGTGCTGTGCTGTACTTACTATTGCCCTCTGGATAGTATCTGGCTTTTTTTTTCTTCTACCGAAAGGAGCTGAGGCAATTCAAGAGAATCATCCTCCCGGGAGAGCCATGCCACAGAGTCCACGGGAAGTGAAGGAGTTAAATACTATGTATATTGCGAAAGGGGATCAGTAGTTTACACTGTAAGTTAGCTTTGGGCCCCCTGAAGAGTTTGGTGGCCTGGGGCTCCTGAGAGAGTCAAAGATTTCCACATCATAAGCTTCTGCCAAACCACCAGCTAGATAGGAATTCGAAGATTAGATATGAACATGAAATTCGGTGAGCGACCCAGTTTTTGAGTCTAAGAGTTTATCAAAGTCAGTGGCAGAGACAGACAGAGAAGGGGGAAGGAAGGAAGGAAGGAAGGGAGAGACCGAGAGAGACCGAGAAAACCCAAGCCAAAAAAAAAGGTGCCTGGCCCCAGATGCTGGGCAGTCACAGAAAGGCTGCTTCTGCTCCACTCCCTCCCTCCTTTCCCAAAGTACCACCACCACTACTCGGACCCCCCCCGGTCGGCATCAATGCAGGTCATCTCACACTCTCACACACCTCTCGGTGGGACAGTGCAAAACCGGCTTAGCTGACTGCATCCTGCATCCAGGAAAAGGGAGCAATTAAATGCTGATATTAACATTAATTTGTATTCTGTTTGCTGAGTGGCCAGGGGATGGGCCCGAGGTTACTCTTATTTTAGTACATATGTATTCGCCAACGTATTCGCCTTCTCATCTTTTTTTCTTTCTCCTTGGTTTTTTTTAGTCGTTTTCCTCCAGGGCCACTCTTCCATCTGGCACAGTCACAGTTGCTAGGTTACAATTTCAATCAGTACTAATACCTCCCCACAAAGTACGGAAGACTAACTCTCTTACTGATGGCGACCGTTGCTCATCGAGGGAAATGCAATGTTCTTGATCAATCACCATTATTCCGCCGCCCGGGAGCTTGTTACCTGATCAGGCAATCCGTCAATCACACTGAGCGAGGGACAGTACCTTGGAGCTAAGCATCCCATATGCCGCTTAGGAAGACTCACTGCAGCCCAATGTTCACATTATCGGGGTTTACCAAGTATCTTGGGCAATAATTAATCCAGCACAAGCATCGTAATCGAATTCCGTATGCCCTGAACCCATCACGCCCAGTTTGAAGCCAATAGGGAGCACCTCCATGATATCAGGATTGGTGCTGGGAAGAGCTGCCTGGGCTGCGGCGGGCAGATCCTAACCGTTTAGGTGGGACTTAAAAGGTTAGCTGCATTTGGCGGCCAAGAGAGCAGATCAACCTAGAATGGGAAAATTCAAAAAAGGATCCCCTGTTGGGAGTAACATCGAGGACAAGTAATCTTTGAGATCAAACTTGACAGGGAAGAAGTGGAGCAATAGAGATAATGGAGAAAAAATTAAAATAGAAGTAAATAAAAGAACAAGAACACTAGAGAAAAGACAAGTCCAAAAAAAAAGGGCATGCTCCAGACTGGAGCCGGGGAAAGTGCCCGGGAAATACTGTAGAGACGTGTTGCGCAATGTGACAAGGTCCATGGAGAGAGAAATATAATAACAGTAATGATTCTGACAGGCCAGGATGGTTTATCCTTATCACAATCCTTCATCCTTGCTTTTTGCCTTACCACTAAGTTACCCACAGACGGACTACAGACTACAGAGTCCTTAAGTTACTATGTCCTGCATTAAATAAAGGGCCAATTGTGTAGTAACCTTCTTCTTCCCACTCATACACATACTCTCACTCTTTCTATTGTCTCTTGATCGCCTGCTCCAAATTCTTGTCCTTTTACCCAAAAGAAACCCACATACGGGGAACCGATCGCCTGCTCCACGTCTCGATTGAGTCAGGGATGTGCTGCTGGAATATCCACCGGTTCTGTGGATACTGAATAAACCACCTTTGGAGCCACTACTCGCCTTCCTAGAACTCTCTAGACCCCGTCACCTCGTCAGCTAAACCTCTGAACTGACTTGGAAAAATTTAAAAAAAAAATTAAAAATTAACTATTAAATTTTAGGACATTTACAAGTGCCTACACTACTGTGATCTAGTTTGGAGTCTGGAGAACTCCTGGCCCGGTGCTTTGCCTCTGTCCGATCCCCCTCCTCAATTACTACTTTGGGCTCCTCCCTCTTCTAACCTGGAAACTCTTTTCCACCCCCTCCTCATATTATCACTTTTACATCGTCCACTCCTCCACATACACACACCAACACACACACAACTCTCTCTTCTTCTTCTCACTCCTACTTCCTCCCTCTTTCCGCTGCTGTTTTGTCGACCTTCCTTTCCCTTTCGTTCCCGCTTCAGTACAGATCTCAGCTTACTTACTGTATTACTATACCGCATTTACTTGTGCCGCATTGCATAAATATTATACCTACAGTCACTCGTCTTGCGACAACCCACTGCCGTCGAGATTGCGATCATTCATTCATTGCTGCCGGTGGCAATTGGACGCCTCGATACCAAAGCTACATCTTCGGGCGTTACGGTCTGCATCGCATTCATTTGGGCTCTTTCGGTGGTGCTACTGGTTCTGTCCTGTCTCAGATTCGACACGGCCCTTGCGTGTCTCCTCAACCAACCCGCCTCAAACGATCGCGCTCGCGCTCTGTCGTCATTGCCACTGCAATCTGCGTTGATCGACCTCGCATTCGTTGTCCGGACCGTGCTCTCGCTCACACACCCGGAAGGTCTTGCTCAACTTGCCCTGTCCTTTTAGGGGTCGCATCGCGGTCCTTGCGTTTGAAACCCCTCCACCACGACCCTCGTTGCACGCTGGTCCCTGCAATAAGAAATTGACTTCGGCAATCGAGACCTTGAGAGCCCACAACTGTTATTCGCCCTACCGTTCCCTTATCTGGGATTGATTGTTTGTTGTCCCTACTTTCGAAAGCACTGCAATCTCCCCGCCCTCGTGCGCAACCTCGCTCCTCGTTTTTGATCCGGCATCAAGGAATGTGTCTTTAACTACTGGCACTCCATCAACTCGCCCTTCGAACCACCAATCTTCATCGTACTCTCACAGTCACGCTCCTTTCATCAGAACCTTCGTTCTTCGAGATCGCGTCGTGAGGTGCGTTAGCAACCGGTTGCCCTTCCCCAGCATTCCTTCCAGGCTTCTTCCCAGGATTAGGACATTCTCCGGGAGATATGCAGAACCATCCATCCCCTCCCAAACATCCTCCCAAACACTCCTGCCAGCCCTCTACCAAGAAAAGCACGCCGTCACTACTGACGTGGGTGAAAGGCTCGCACCCTGTGCTCTCTGACTAACCCCTTGGACAGGTATCCATCACGATTGTCGTAACCTCGACCAGTTAATCTTTCGAGATCACCGGCCTGGCTTGGTCCGCTGGTATGATCTCTTCTTGAATCCAACGTTCGACAGACTTTTCGCACTGCACTTCATTACGACAAGCTGGAAATGCTCTTCATTTCTCCATTCGCTTAAGAGTTGGGCAGTGACCTGTGTGTCTGCGTCTGGCCAAGCCTACACTCAAACTCAAAGAGACATCGGACTATCGCTGCAAAGCGTACCGCAATGAGAATGGATCCTCTAGAATCACCAAAACGACATATTGCCCCCCTAAAAATCGAAAAAGGGCATTCGAACTTTCACATGAACCGCTCCTATTCGGCTCAACATCGCCTCGAGATGAGCCCTCCTTTGACGCCCTACAGTGGGGGAGACGACAACTCGGAAAAACCGAGGAATGTCTTTCACAATTATCTTCGCGCGTTCTACCCTTACCACCCGTCGGGCAATGTATCTCCGTCAACTGTCACCCTCCCGCTGGATCAGGGCGACATTATCCTTGTTCACTCCGTTCACACCAATGGCTGGGCCGATGGCACTCTGCTAGATACAGGCGCCAGGGGCTGGTTACCCACGAATTATTGCGAAGCATATGATCAACAACAAATGCGCCCGCTGCTCAAAGCATTGACTGACTTCTGGGATATTATCCGAGGCGGGTGCCGGCTTGTTATGAATGAGACCGGCAATCAGGATCTTGTACGAGGCTTGATTGCCGGGGTTCGCTATCTCTTGGTAGGTTTCTGCCATGCAAATCAAGTGTTCCCTTTTGGCTGACATCACTCAAGCAAAAATCCGAATGCCTGACCCGCGACTGCATGCTGGTCACTAATCATGACGGGTTGCGCAGGAACCGCAAAGGATTGCTGGCGGATCTATCGTCTCTGGTCCGAACAACCAAGAAGTTCCAAGAAGTTGCGACCAAAAGTACGATACAGGATGATATTGACTACTTGGTGGATGAGATGCTGCTCAAGGCATTTCGAATTGTGACTCGTGGCGTTCGTTTCCTCGACGTGTGGAATGAGGAGGTTGGATTGAGTAGGACGATCGCCGAATTGGAGCAACAATCAACACGCTACGACCTTTCGCCTCGAACGACCACCGAGACGAAGCCAGCAGCGGACTTAGAGGCAGAGGGGGAGACTGAGCAGAATGAGTCCAGACTGCTCAACCGCAGCCGACTAGACATGAGTCGAGCATCCACCCACATGGACGATGCGCAGCCGGCCCGGTCTGTTTCGGTGGCCACCAAACGAATCTCCATATCCCACCGAGTGTCGTACTCGGGACCCGCTGCCGCGGCCCGGAATCTCAATTTAGCGTCGGAGCGACTGAACTCGTCATACGATGCCTTTCTTGGCGTGTTGGGCTCATTCATTGGCTTACATCTGCAGTCTCGGTCGTCAACGGAACTAGTGGTGACCACGGAGCAGTCCGTGCGCTCCTGCCGGGCTTTACTAACCGTCATTGAGGCCGCTTGTGAGCATGACCCACAGGGCAGTGGGTTGTTGGAGCAAGCCAGAGACGCTATGTACGAACGACTATCTGAATTAGTGTACGCTGCGCGGGACGCCTTCCGCCCAGCTCACTCCCCCGACGACGAACTAGTTTTTTTGCCCGATGAGGGGAAGCGCTTGGTGGATGCTGCCACGGACTGTGTCCGCGCGGCGGGGAACTGTCTGGCCAAAGCGCGCTTGATGCTGGAGGAATGTGGCGACTTTGAGCTCGAGGCCATGCCGCAAGATATGGCCCCTGCGGCGATAATGCTGCCAGACCTAAACCTGACTCCGCAGCCCCCGCAGCCTGACACTTTCGACAGCAACTCAACCCGCCCACAGGATGTCTCACTTCGATTGCCCCCTCCTCCTTTGCAGATCCCCATCTCGACTGATGCTGCTTACTCCTCCTCTCCACCAGGACTGACTGATGACAGCACCCCCTCTTCTTTCCAATCGCGTGGTGGAGCAATCACTCCGGCCGCTGCTAGCACCGACGTTTTATTCCAGTCCACAAGTATCCTTTCGTCGAGCTTGGACAAACTCTCATTCTCTTCTCATGACACGCAACCATTCGAGTACCGGAATAGTCAGCTCAAGTCTGAGCCGAGTGAATCTTTCGGCCGTGGGGTAACAAGCAATGGAAGCAGCTTCACGTTCCACAGCCGTCTTCGTGATTCAGAAATGAGCGGGGTTTCGCAAACCTCGACACGAGCTACGTCGCCAGATATCGGAAACAGCTACCAGACTCCGTGCTTGCGAGGCAGCTTGAGCCATTCCACGCTGGCCGAAGAGCATGAAGAGACCGAGGCCAACGTTCTTGAGCGAACCTACGCCCACGAGCTGATCTTTAAAGATGGTCAGGTGATGGGTGGCAGCCTTCGTGCCCTTGTCGAAAGACTTACAGCCCATCAGTCAACCCCGGACGCCATGTTCGTTTCGACCTTCTACCTAACCTTCCGCCTGTTCGCGACACCTTTGGAATTTGCGGAAACTTTAGTGGGTCGGTTCAACTACATTGGTGATACACCCCACGCCGCAGGTCCTGTTCGTCTTCGTGTATACAACGTTTTCAAGGGATGGCTGGAGTCGCACTGGCGACATGACTGCGACAATGCTGCACTCGACTACATCACCGGATTCGCCAATACAAATCTTAGATACAACCTGCCTACTGCCAGCAAGCGCCTCTTGGAACTTGCGGAGAAGGTCTCGATGGTTCATGGCCCGGTTGTGCCGCGTCTGGTTTCCTCCATGGGAAAAACAAATACTGCCACTGCCCAATACATTCATCCAGATACCCCGCTTCCCCCGCCCATCTTGGGCAAGAAAGAAGTGGCGCTACTGAAGCAGTGGAAGAGTGGGGAAAGCAATATCACAATTCTTGATTTCGACCCTCTTGAACTGGCTCGCCAATTCACCATCAAGGAATCGCGAATCTTCTGCGCCATACTACCCGAGGAGTTGCTTGCGACTGAGTGGATGAAAAAGTCCGCCTCACTGGCGGTCAATGTCCGCGCTATGTCAACCTTATCAACAGATTTGGCGCACCTTGTGGCGGACTCGATACTCCAGCTGGAGGAACCGAAGAAGCGTGCGGCTATCATCAAGCACTGGGTCAAGATCGCCAACAAGTGCTTGGAGTTGAATAACTACGACTCATTGATGGCCATTATCTGCTCTTTGAACTCGTCGATGATCTCGCGTCTCAAGCGGACATGGGAGGCTGTGTCCCAGAAGACGAAGACTACTCTCGAGTCTCTTCGTGTAATTGTCGACGTCTCGCGAAACTACGCGGTTCTTCGTCAGCGTCTCCAAAACCATGTGCCACCTTGCTTGCCGTTTGTCGGCACCTACTTGACAGACCTGACATTTGTCGACCACGGCAACCAGCCGCTCCGCTCCCTACCCACGGACGATGGAGAAATGGCCGTGATCAACTTTGATAAACACATGAAGACGGCGAAGATCATCAGCGAATTGCAACGCTTCCAGATTCCATACCGTCTTACGGAAGTGCCAGAGTTGCAGGCATGGATGCAAAACGAGCTGGTTCGGGTTCGTTCCACCGGTGAAAAGAGTTTACAGACGTTCTATCGCCGGTCGCTCATCCTCGAGCCCCGTGAGGCGCCTCAGCAGCAGCGTACATTGCAGACGGAGTCCAGTTCCTCCTCGATCCTAGAGAATGCCAAGGACAAATTCGAATTCCTGTCGTGGACGCACCCCTCGAAAACCAAGTCGGTAGCGACAAATGGCTGATTCAGGACAACCTGAGCCATTGGGACGGCCAGTTACGATTTACGAATCATTTTCAATTCATGCCGACACGGAATTAGCACTATACTCCCTTCTATTCTTCACATTTTCGATATTGTCATTATCGTCGCACATTTTATTGTGGATACCCCATGATCCAATATTGTCAACACTTCGGAGCTGCCCCTGTGATTCACCTATCAACAGGAGGGGTGAGGGGATTCTCCTACTAAAAAGAGACAATCCAGTATATCACACAGTGCAATCCTTTCCTGTACATGGATGGCACATACAAAACAACAATACCCATTTCATTCGGACCTTTTGATACAAGCTACCTCGCGCATTGGCTGAAGTGAACATTTCCTCGACTGACTACTTTCTTTTCATCACGTTTGATTCGCTGCAATGGTACTTTCACTGGACATGCCAATTTCATGAATTTGTTTCGCCATTGGGCTGGATCGGAGCACTGCAGCCTCCCTGGTAATGATAGGACTGTGTTATTATCGGTGCCACTTTTTTTTTTTTTTTTTTTTTTTTTGGTTTTCTCATTCTCTGCCTTATATTTACGGATTAGTTCAGCATCCAGTCTCGGTCGCATTGCATTGGAAATGTACGGTTCTAATCAGGTGTGGATTTTGGATACTGGAATCGGGCATTCGCATGGAAGCTTTGGGTACTTACTTATTGGGATGGATTTGGGATTTTCTGGACCGGTCTGGCTGGCACATGGGAGGACGAACTGTATTATCTTATCCTGTACATATTTGGGGGCTTACGGCTAATGCAACCTGGTCCCGTGCTAATGAACAATCACTTGTGATTATAATCGATTATTTTGCTTTCCCTCCGGCGGAGAATGTGGGTTGTGTATATAGAGCTATGGGTATTTAGTCGGTTCCTTCCACCAAAGGATTATCGGTATTATCCAAGACCCCGCCACCTTTGATACGCCTCGGCAAACCCGCCACCGTTGGAAGCCTCATTGCAAGCATATTCGTCCGTTTGACCCCAGGCCAGGTCGGAACCCAGGCCATTGGGAGCGGACACATCAATGTCCAAGATGGGGATCATGGATGGTCGTCCATGCGCGCACTGGAATGGAAACGTACAGCCTGCCAATCGGGACACCAGGCCCTGGCACTCCTCTACGGTCAAAACGTCATTAAACATGATTGCCGTGCGGCAAGCCCGCGAGTTCAGCAGATCGATGATCCCCCGGGGACAAGTGTCCAGCCGGCCAAACCAGCTGCTGTTGCTGGCGGTCGTAGCGCCATCGTGAGTGTCTTGCCGAATACTAGGCCGGGATTCACCCCGACTCCAGCCCGTTTGAAGACCCCAGCCACCACTCTGCTCCCGGTGCCAGATTTCCCCACGGACCAGTTGTGTGACTAGCTCCGGTTCCGTGCGACACCTCTCGGCAATGAGCGCGGGAAGTGCATGCACGAAGACGAATGCCTTCGTATCTCGGGTTCTCTGTTCGATCGAGTACTCAACGCCCCATTGACTGTAGAATTGTCGGTATCTTTTGAACACCGAGGTCTGCGACGCGGGTATTTCAATCACGATCGCACTGTCGAGTCGAACGGATGGAGGGGTGTCGGTCGGCGCGGTTGGGAGGAAGGATGCCAGAAGAGCCTCGACGCGACAGCGCTCATCAGCAGCATGTTGATCGATTAAGACTAGGGTTTTATTGGGGTTGGATGCAGAGGGACCAATCGCCGCAAGGATGAACTTCCTGTCAACCTGGGCGATAATTTGGGACTTCTTGAGGTCGTGCTTCCGAAGTTTACCACGATACTTAGCCACCCCAAGGGTGTCTGGACGAAAGAGATTGCTGGAAGTGGCTGTTCGATGACTCGTATTTATATCGAAGATGTCGATGGCCTTTTCGGGTCGGCCGAAAACCGGGGGTTTCCAATCGTCCAAAAGGTTCTCGACCCATGCATTTCGGGCGGGTTGTATGGCAGCCGACTTGGGCCGATCTTGGTCTTCTGAACCCCGCTTCGTCCATAGAGACCCGGTGGATCGGGGCCTCAGGGAAATGGCTGAAGAGCCAGCGCCAATGGAGTGGCCGGTTCGGGAATTAACCGTGTGGCTTCGACCCGTATAAGGGTCAATCCAGGAGGCAATCGGATCAAAATGTCCGTCAAGTGAGTTAGTCTCACCGAAAGCCTCATCATGACTTCGTTTTTCGGGGGTTTGTACAATAATCGTGTCATAAGGAGCTGGTTCAGGTGGCATTGCTGGCTTTTGCAAATAATTTCGATGAAGAGGGGCGTTCGACTTAAGGACTCGCGCAGTTGCACTAAGATCTTTCGAAATGATGCTGGCACTCTTTACTCTGGTCCAGTTTGCGAAGTGGTGACTGACGGTCATCGGTCGCCGAAGATCAGGTAGCTTAATATGACGGTTCAAAGGTTCTTCGGTGCTATAAGCTGTATTTGAGCGTTGAGCTTCATGATCTGAGGTCCTCGAGCTCTTCTTCGGCGAAATCTTCCTCTTCTTTCTTGCACGCGGCCGTAGACCCTGTTGCTCAAGGAACTCGTTAAGCATGGCTCCAAGGACGTCTAAGATGCGCTGGACATATTGAAATGCCTCGGGAGCACCTTCAGCATCGCAGTCGAGACTGGTGCACTCCTCAGAGGTGATCCGTATGTAGAACATGGGCCACCTGGTGCACTCCTTGGGAGGAGCCTTTGCCAGTGTCTCATAACCACTCCTAAGGACCTCATCTTTGGCTCGTAGAGGCGCTTGAAATTTGGCATTATCGAAGTCGGACAAGGCAAATAAACGATTAATCTCTTTATAGAAGATGTTCGCACTGCTTTGTGGTAGCACGGGAATTACTCCCAAAGAAAGGAACTGGACCTTCTTCGTGATGCTAGGAATACGCGATATAGCGGCATGAATTTGAAAGCCAGGTACGCTGGCCGACACGACATCCCAGTGCTTAGTATTTCGAGCTTCCACCAGACCAGCCTGGAACAGAATAGTGTTGATGCGCTGAAGATCCAACGCTGACTCTGCCTCGTGGCTTAGAGTCTTCGGGCATAAAGAGAGCTTCTTCTCTCCACTGGCGTCCATCACCACAAGTTTGATTAGTTGATTGTTTGCTAGCATCAGGGGCACAAGTAGCTGTCTGAGGTCATCCCATTGTCTCTCCACCTCTTCGGACTTCTGCAGAGCTAATGCACGACTCTTTACTCGTACTGGCATGTTGCCAAACAAATCGTTCACTGTTATACTGGTGCCGTGACTGCTGAATCTAAGTCCCTGATAACTCGGGGCTGGAGTCAGTCGAACTACTGGGGTCGCATGGTGGAATACAATAGTATTTGTGCTTGTATGCCGAAAATGGCGGGATGTTATGGTCAACATTGACAGAGCCGAAAGTGAGGCTAAGAATGACCCTCGGTGACCGTAGACATCTCGCTCTGGGCCAAGCCGGGAGGTATCTGTGCTTTATATAAGCATCAAGACTTTAAGAACGACGGTCTAACGTACGGTGGGCTTTGCCTAAACCACCACTTGGATGAAATTCCAATGGTGGTATGCCGTCTCCATCGTCCTCCACTATGCAGCCTCCACGCAGAGCATCGACCGTGATATACACTGTTCGAGCATTTGCATCCAAGGCATTCTTGACCAAGTCCAGAATCACCCCCTTGAGAGTTGTAATCGCCGTCGACGATTTCAATTTGGCCACTGCGGATGGTGGCAAGGGTTGGATTCTCGGGTCATCGGAATTCATCACGGCGAGTAGGTAAGTAAACAACCAGCATGTTTCCCGGGTCACATAGCTGGTCGCGCTTGCTTGGAGCAGCGAGGCCTTTCTAAAAGATACTGAGCACTCATATGGAAAGCGAAGATGTAGAGAAACACTGTTCTAATCCAAAGCAACCTGAGCCCATGGTGTCTTCGGAGAAGGAAGCGGCGGCAGGATGATGTGATATCGCCTATCAGGCACGTGGTGATAACGGTCGATAAGCCTAGTACTGAGTAAGTTAGTACACACTCTGAGTGTCTTCTTTGGGCCGACGGCCAGTATCACGTGCCCGGCATGAGGAACTCCTGACTTGCCTTCATCAACAATGAATGCTCGGTTGAACTTCTCTATTGCTAAGTCTTCTTGATCAGCGATTTCTCGTCATATTCATTCAAAGCACCTTCACTTGATCGGGGCGTTCCGCCTACGATCGCTCCGCCTTCCCCACTTCCAGCTCATTAAATACATCGCCCTTCCCTCTTCCACCCCCTCCAACCCCCTCCCGGGCTCAGTCACTCGTTCTGCAGCGTCCCTTTGATCGACCGATCACCAACAACTCCGTCTCAAATTCTCTTTAACGGCTCGAAACAGCCCCTCGATAGTCTCGGCACCTTTCCGTACGACGACCTTTGAAAAGAAATCCAATCTATCCTCTGGGAGGCCCGAATTATGGCCACAACAGAGGGACCCGCTAGGGCGCATGGTGCGCAAAGCAATTCCCCAGTGTTCTGTTTCTGGTCCAACTGTCTAACGCATGATTTTGGGAAAGATCGCAATGGACGCCGTCATCCTTTTTCCAGTTGGATGAAGCGACTTGCTAGTCTAAAACATTCGACCGATTCAGGTTCCAACCGTTGGTCTCACAAACGCCATGCGACCCCGAAACACAAAAACCGCAATTCGAAAAATAACCCCTACCCACTTTCTGGAAATAACACCGCTGCCAATCCCTGCGGTGACAACATCAGCGATGCTACTGCATCGGATTTCAGCGCCGAAACTGACGGGCAATCCGGCTCTCGAAGCGAGCCCTCTATCACATACTCCTGTTACGAGCACCGGGTTCCCGCCACCAGTGCTAAATCTACGGCACCCACCATCTCCACAGACGGTGACACAGCCATATCGGATGCAGCTTATTCGAAGGCAGGTACAATGGTCACAGCCGGAGGAGGGATCAGTTCACACGGTGGGGGCGAAGGAAGCACCTTTTCGTCCCCAGCGCCATCCGTCCGGTCTCTAACAACCACCTTGACCACGGTTCAATCGGCAGCACCATCGGGCCACCTCTACAACCCGCAGAATCACCACCATGGTCTTGCTCACACCAACTCCTTGCAGAATCATGCGACGCAGCAGGTTCAATTTTCTCATCAATTTCCCTCCTCGCCAGCTACGGCGGTCCCGCCCCACCTTACTCCTCACGGTCACTCGGTTACTTACAGCTCCGCGACGGCGAACAATCTTCTCACCGACAATGCATCCATACTTACACTGGCGTCTTCCTCCAAGCGACGGCGTCGTAACTCCTTAGATACCAACGCCTCGGTGCGCGCCTTGGCCCCGTCCTCAGTCTTTGGTGGTAGTCGGGAGAGTCTGCCTCTGAGTGTTCTCAGCGGTACTATGGGCGAGCAGCCTTCCAATACCTCCTCGCTCAATGCTCCAGGCGTTCTTAATCGTCCTAGCTTGGTCGGACTTGCCAGCGTAGAGCGCGCCAGCGTCTACTCAGCCTCAAGCGCTAACCCGTTGGCTGGTGAGCGCGGCAATTTTCACAAGGCCGCCACCACGGCCGGGGATGCCGCGAGCACTATGAGTGTGTCTCATTCGCATAGCCGTCACGATAGTAACGTAACCAGCGTTACCGGCGCTGGCCCCGGGAATGCGTGGTCAGGGCCATCCCAACAGCAGCAAGCGGCCGTAACGGGGCGCATCAGCCGTCGCAGCTCAGGATGGGGCGAAATCAACGGCGACGAAAGCGACGAAGAGAAGCTTCCTGGGCGGAAAGCAGGTGAAGGTGAGGAGGCTATGGCAGAGTCCACAATTAGAAAGTCGGGGCAGCAGCTTGATGGGTTGCTGCTTGAGAACTAGAACACTTTCTCTCGCACCCTCCATGACATGGCCATGATTTTCTGACCTCTATTTACCTCAAATGCCTTTCCTTTTTATCTTCTGCTCACCAGGTTATCGCAACGAAGTTATGCAACGCCAGATAAGAGACTTCACGACAGTGACATATTGATTCCCACGGCTTCGCTCCATTCTATTTCCACAGTTTTTCTTTTTCGTTTTTTTCTCTCGCCCGTGCCAACCATCTCTTTAATTGCAGCCCCACCACATAATGTCTGATATGCGAAGGGGGAAAGGAGCGGGGCTATTGTACTCCCTTCGAGGTGTTCGGGAGTTATAGCTCGGGTTCGCCGACAACCTTTCATTTACTTGTGTTTCTTTCATTCTTCAAGCGGCGCTTCGGGTTATGGGAGGAGTTTTAGACTCATACGGGGGGTCATTGCAGTTTTCCGTTGAGACATGTAAAGCATGAACTCATGCCTCTTCGTGGATCGGTGTAAATCATTCAATCCATAATTCACCCCACACATACACCCAATCTTTACACGTAGATCGGCCGAAAGGAAGAGAGAACCGTCCGCCCCTCAGCGGCATGGTCGTTATCCGGTCTCAGAAACATGGGCCAGTGGCTAGTGAGTCTTGATAGGCAGGGCACTTCTGAAAGGTGAACTGAGATAACATTGCTTTGGTATCATTCATTATCATATACTTTTATAAAAGGGGACAAATCACAATGAGCTAAGCCAGCTGGGATTCTGTATTGCAGGTGTCTGCCCTTGGCAACTGAAATAGTACGTTGGCCTCCCCACCGCCCGAGCAAACCACCTCCATCATAAACAGGCTCCGCGTACGCCGAACAGTCTCCCCAAACGCACACCAACCAATATTAACATAGAGCATGGCAAGAAGAAGGACACGAGCACGGGGCCGAGCGTGAGGGGAGATCCCTTGCATGGATGTAAACATCTACAGGAAGAGAAGTGGGGAAGGGCGAAGAAATCAGGATAAGACAAGGCATGCTCGCACGCGAACGGAAGAGTAAACAAGAGAATCAATACTAGGCAGTGCCTACGCCGATCTTGGAGTCAGAACTACTCCGTTCGCTGTCCTTCTGCTGTGAGGCGAGGAACTTCTGGAACATGATGGCAATATCGTTCTCCGACTTTTTCGCCTCTTCTGAGGTCTGCCCGTTCTTCTCGGTGATGAGGTTCTTCAGCCACTGGTTCTCCAACTCCAGGGCTGTCACGCGAGCCTCCAATGCGGTGTTCTTTTCCGTGGTCTCCTTGACAGTCTTCTCGAGAGCTTGCTCGCGCATCTTCTTCTTCACACGGAAGCGGGCGCTGGCGGCGGTGTTGCGCCGGCGCTTGTCTTCCTCCGCCGCGATGCGGGCGACCTCTTCGACGCTCATAGGTGGGGCCTTTTGGGTGTTCTTACGCTTCGGCGCGGTGGCAGACGTGGAGGAAGTGGTAGCAGGAGGTACAGCGGTAGCAGCGGGAGGGGACATCGATGACGATGACTGCGGAGAATGTTGCGAAGACGCCTGGCTCGGAGCCGGGTTCACATTATAGGGTGCATTCGGCAAGGGCGGAAGAGCGGAGAACTGTGGGTTGCGAGGTGGCACAGCTTGAGTGTTGACCGCGTTCACATTGGAGGATGGAATGTCGTTGACATTGCCGAAGCCTTTGAAGCAGAAATCAGTGATAAGTCCAGGGACAGTTGTAACTATCAGCCTCGCAAGAAAGAAACGCAGAAGGGAAGAAGAGCAGCATTGGATCCAGACAAATCGCCAAGACGGCTCCGAGTTGAGAGCCCAAGGCAACCCTCAAATGCAGCCTTCCATATGGTGTCACGTGGTATTGCGCAATTGAAGGTGCGGCTCGCGCTATGAATCCCATAGGCAAGACTACTGCACGTTTTGCGATCGTCGCACAGACGAAAGGATCTCATGCAGGTGGCGAGCCAATCAGGAAATGTGCAAATGGCGTGCTTATTCTAGGCAGAGCAGCTGGTATAAAACCTGTGCTCGTGGTATGATCCTAGAGGGGCAAGAAATGTTTCTGAAGGAGGGCAGGGAAAATGGGTCGCAGAGCATGAGCATAAGCTAGCGCGGCGGAGACAACGACATCCATGATGATGAGTTGGCTCAATGCTCAGGCTTCTGAAAGGGAATGCAAAGTGACTCTTTCCACATGGCCGGTTTGATAGGATGTTCAGTCGCATCATATGTCCAACTCCAGGAGGAAAACGAGGCGGCAAGAAACAAAGATTCTCTACTCACCTCCCAGAAGATTCAAGAAATCCATGTCGGAGTTGGCATCCTGCGCGGTCTCCCTCTTCACTGTAGTCTTATCCACCGAATCAAAAGCAGGCAGGTTGATGTCGCCAAAGTGGTCGAAGTCAAAAAACTCGGTGTTGGTAAACAACGAGAGATCGGCATCGAAGTTGTAGGATTCTTGCTGTTGCTGCTGCATAGCCTGATCATATGGCGAAGGGATGGCATTCAGATCTTCCAGGTATTGGGAAAAGTTCGGGGCCCGACGGCCGTTGAATTCAGACATAATGTTGGACTGAGGCGGTTCGTGGCCTCTGTGCGTCTCGAATTTACCAAACGGCGAAAGCAATGGAGGTCATTCAAGACGACAATAACGACTTCGTTTTATGGCTGAGCCATGCGATAGATCGAACTCGTGGATTATCCGACGTGGACAGAAGTAGACCGGAGACGATATGATAGTGGAAAGTCGAGTCCGACGAAGTGAGATGGGCCTCACGAGCGCTTGGTTGAGTCGACGGCGTTTGGCGATGATCGATAGCGATTGATTGTCGGAAGTTGGGTTGTCGATGGGCGGGTGGATGGAGTCTGGGGAAGAGAGAAAGGATAGAATAGAAGAGGGTGAAAGAGCGAAATGGGCGGGCGGCGGAGGAGGGTCAGTGGAGGGTTCGGGTTGAATTCATTCCAATGTGGGACGCGCGGGAGGCCGAAAAAGGGCACTGGCCACTGGGTAAATTCAATTACAGCGGGCGGGGGTGAGGGTGGGTGGTTTGATTATTAAGACTCGTGGGTAATTCCCGTAGGTACTGTGTACTGTAAGACTACTCGTGCTCCGAGTACTTATCAGTAGGAATCAGTCAGTTGCCCGCGGCCAACGACTAATACAAGTGACTAACACTACCACCACCACCACCACTTCCCGTTTGACTTTCTTTCAGCCTTTCATTCAGTCTTGTCTTTCGTTCTCTTCTTCAGAACTTCTGCATCCTCCTGTAGACTTAATGTAATCACTAAGCAACTAACTACTCAGTATACTGAGTATGCCTGGCTACGCAAGTCCTTGAATTCATGACCCGGAAAGGCGGCCGCGCTCTCGCCACAGCGCGGCCGCCTTTCCGGGTGATGACATCGAAGCCGAGTCATCCTCGTTTCAGTGGCCGAGATCGGCTTGCTTTTTGGGGTTGGGAGTTTCCACGAGCCCTGCCCGGTTTTGAGTAACAACTTCAAGGAGGGGTCCTTCGGTAGATTATTAATCGCTCTTCTCCCTCTTCTCCCTCTTCTCCCTCAATGAAGTCAGTTTGTCGACACGCCGGCGGGCAGACCCGAGGCTTTTTCCCTTTTCTTTCTGCTTAGGGTTGCAGGTAGAAGGTCTTGGGAAGTGAGTTCAGCCAACCAATCGACTTCAGTACACCGAGACGGCGTCTGCCACAGTGCTTATGGTTGGCCCGAGCTGGACGCTTATAGTCGAAGTGGTCTAGTATCGCTAATGAGGTATCTAGACTACTCATAAGCTAGACTCGCAGAGGAAATCTTTCCTTCTACGTCCGTTTGCTGCTCCACTTTTCCTCTCGTATGCATTCTCAAAGAAGTATTCCCATCCGTCCGTTGAGTCTGTTCCAGCCCGTAGCGCAGTTATTTCGGTCCGAAGAGTCCCTTGGGTGTAAGTACGAGACGTAGTTCGTACTGTACTTGGTAGCCTTGCCCTAAGTCTAAACAACTTTCACACACCATTATCTTCCGTACAGCTGACAGTGATTCACGAAGGAATTCAGGATTTATAATCACCCTAATCAGTTGGTGTACTGAAGCCCTTCAGCAGACTTCTTTGTCCCACTCGTTCATGCCGAAAACAGTAAGTGCAACGGCGATATGATAAGACCGACTGTAAGTCCGGCTTCTTATCGCCACGTGACTTTGGCTTCCTGATGCCCCAGGAATCCCCAATCTTGGTCGCGTTCGCATCACGACTTTCGGGCCCCCGACCAGCATAGAGCCAAGGTACTTTGGGGCTCGTCATTTACAACGCCTACATTGTGCGACCTTATCATGTATACCGAACTCGGTTTTTAATACTATATTCAGTCGCCAGTCACAATGGCGCGGTCCAAAGCAATTCGTGCTCCCACTACTGCCAGTCTTCCTAGCAACCTTCGCATACCTTCTTCCACCCCATCGTTAGTCAAGACGTTTGGCAAGCTTACTCGCCAGGCTTTACTTGACCTTGTCTTCCAGTGGCTTGAGGATGGCAATGTCCAGCACTTTCCGCCATATCTTCAAGCCAACGAAGGCGGCCAAAGGGAAGAGGAGGGTGGTGACGACGGACTCCGTCCCTATCCCGCTGAGCGGACTATCAACGGGGTTCGCAACGCCTACCAGGAGCTGCAGTTTCGGAAAGGGGGGAAACGCGAAGTCATAGATCGGATTCTCGAAGGCGACTGGCGACATGGCATCACACTTCGTCAGCTGGCAATGGTCGATTTGCGCTACATGGACGACCATCCGTCAGGTCTGCGCTGGACAGCTTTAGAACTCGCTCGCATCGACAACTCGTCCTCGAACGAATCCTCCGCGTGCATACCGCGTGTTCACGCATCGACTTTCCTAAGCAGTCTTCAGCAACAAATTTCTCCCCTGGTGAAAGCCCACTACCATCTTGCCCGGTCGACCTCTCTTCCCCTTACCGTGCTCCGTGTCTTCGTCACCACCTCGCCTTACCAAATTGCCCCTCGTCGGAGTGTCGAATCTCTCACGGACTCGTCTAGAACCATCTATGTCGCTTTTCCAGACAGTTGCCCATTCTTTTACACATCCATGGCTTCTCCCCAGACAGCCTCCAAGGCTAGTTCCGCTCTCCCGAACTCCCTCGTCGCAACAGACGCTCGCAGTCTCCAGCGCCTGGTCCGAGATGCTATTCCTAAAGCCCTCTCTCTCCCCCATCAACGATATACCGTCAAGCCCACCTCCTTAACAGCAAAGAGTCTCGAAGCCCTGCTCGCCCTTCGCGGCCCCGGTCGATTCAACCACGCCAACGGCGCATTCAGTATTTTCGCAGACGCCGCCTTGGAAGGAAGCCCCTTGGACCCACGGCCATCCAACACCGTCTCTCCGGAGGAGCATAACCGCCACTCAGCGTCGGTTCGCTCCAGGGATTTGGCCGGGAAAGAGAACACGGCGACTGACGCGAAGGAAGCCACCCTTGAAAACGGAAGGGCCTCTAAGCGATCTCTCGCTGACTCCAAGGAACCCGGTACCTCTAAGAAGCGGACTCTGGCCCTGCAGTCGCGATTCGGCACTTCGGGTACCTTGTCTTCTGCGCCGCTTGATCGACTCGATGTTAGGCTACTCGATGCCTTACCCGGTGGTGCAAAGCCAACAGAGCACGCTCAACAAACAACAGTCTCGCTGGCGTTCGCCGGTACGGATGTGTTTGGTGGGATTCGAAAGCTTGCGGAGTTGGGTGTTATTGACGCGGAGAGGATGCCTTCCTGGATAACGGGTGAGGAAGGGGTCAGTGTCGTTGCGGTGAGGGAGGGGAGGAGAGTGAGTAAAGCCGGTAGATGAAATCCTCTGGCACGGGCTTTTTATTTTTCAGCTAATAGGGTACTGCCAATGCTTCGTGAGACGTTGAAGCCGATGCAGGCCACCTACTCAAGCACATGGAGCCTCAACATCAGGTGTGCAAGTATGGGCTACCCCCATTCCCCACTACGCCATGTTATCGGAGCACCATCATTATCACTGAGAGGGGAAACATGATGGGACATCTTCTCGAAACAAGCAACGTAAAAACAATTTCGACATTCCCGTGCCATTAGCATAGGTGAGGTCGGATCAATTCGCCTTAGAATGGCGGCGCCCTTTCTGACAGTACTGAAAATCAAATCTCTCTTGGTCATCCCCGGGCGTGTCAAACCCGGCTAGGTCATTCCCCTTCAGTCCTTCAAGTTCAGTTGGATCTAGATAGGTCGCTGGAAGGTTTGATGAGGACAATCTTAAGGCCTAACTCATCAAATGATGCAGAACCTGGGCGGATCAAATAATTTTCAACAACACCTGTGTCAGAATGAAGGATACCTCATATTAATTAAGCATAATAATAACAATGGCCATAGAAATGACCGAATGAGAGTTAGGATTCAGACCATTCCAGCCAGATAGCCTGAGACTAGCATGCAACAGCTGACTCCCAAAATCCTCCCCGCTAACCGAAAGCAAATTGTTAATGCAGATTATGACCGTGCCAGACGGCAGAAGAAGTGAAGAACACGCCTTGAAGCCAGCGTACAATAGACTCAGTGCCATGACCTCATCAATAGTCATCGTAATCCCAGTCGTCCTCGTGCTGGTGCTGCTGTCGGCGCACCCAGAAAGGATGGTAGCTCGAAACGTCTAATGAGAGTCAGGCTGTCAGTATTGGTTACTCTTCGCATGTCTACTAAGTAACGACAAATGGCGTTTTTGAATAAGAGCTTCGTACCGCGACGGCCTGAGAGACCAAAGTGCTGTGCCACATTGACATATCCATCCCGACTGAATTTGCCTTGGCGGGAGAGCTCCTCCACATTCACATTTTCAGTATCCGGCTGCCAGGGTGAACGACTTAACTGGGTCAATAACATATAGTCAAGATCTAGATGGCAGGGAACACACCAATAAACACATCTGACACCCTGTGCCTGCTGGGTGGCAGCCCATTGCTGAAAGCAAGCCTTGTGAATGTTGTTCCCGCATGCAGCTCGACACCACACAATGTCCTCTCTTTGGGGCTCGAATTCCATGAAACATATTGGACAGTCTCCCTCGATCGGTTTTCTGATGCCAGCGTTCTCCTCAGTGGATTGCTCTTTGCTTAGCGAGGAACCGTTGTACATTGCCCGCAGTTCCTGCAAGACGGGTGAGCAAATCCTTCAGGCACAGGAGACGATGTTCATGCTGCCACTTACCGATGATAGAAATGCCAGCTGGTACTGAAGGTCCGCCGGCGCTTTGAGGGCGTTGATTAATACTTGAACAGCCATGATTGTTAGGACCATAGAATAACAATGAGTGATAAGTGATAGCGACATAATGATAGGATTTGAGGGATTGTCAAGAGAAACAAAACGCTTACCATAACAGATATGCTTGCATTGATTACCCTTGCGTGCATCTGGACAGTCGCAGGTTGGCACCTTCCCAATAGTGGTTTTGTAGATGTTGCCAGTGGTCCCGACAATGTCGAAGCTCATATTCAGAACTCCGTCTACAAGATTGACGGTATGCCCAACAATAAACATGCTTGAGACGGTTAGCTTCGATATTCCGAGTAGTTCTGAGTCCAAAGATCTCACCGTTGTCTCATTGCACGTGCAGCCCTATCTTTGAAGGATACCGGGGCATGGGGCCTGAATCTACGCTCTCGACGCTCTTCACTGGGCGCTTGCGCCCTGGGCTTTTTTCCCGGGCGAGTGGAGGACTGCCCGGTACGACCAACATCCCTGAATTTGGGTAAGTTGGTGGTGGCAGAGACAGCCTTTCGCAGCCTTCTAGTGGTGGTAGTGGTCGTGGTCGTCGTTGTTATTGTTTCTTCCTCATCAGCAGTTCGCTTCCTTTTCGAGACAGCGGATGTGCTTGTTGTTGCCTTTGCACGCTGCTTTCGAGCCCCACCCCGTGATGTTCTGGCAGTCTGCAAGCGAGCAGTTACATTTGAGGTTGCCCCCATCGTAAAGAGGAGGAAGTTGGTTCTAGTGATCTTGAAGGGCTTGGATTTCAAATGGAAGGTCGCTTTCACAAGATCGCAGTGGCGACGGATAGCGACCAACATGGAAGAGATAGGTGACCGATAAGCGATTAATTCCGCAGCATGACACAAGTACTGCAATATGCTCACAAGTTTCGGGTATGAGATGCACAATCAGCAAGCTTGCAGCTTGAGTGAGATAGCAGTCAATGGCTATTTGTCACATTTCAGGACCTATCCAGTGCCACTTGCTGTTGGTGACGAGAGAGGTGAAGACGGATGGATTCAGCCTATAGAAGATGAGGCCCGCGATCTACACAAGGCCCCCGAGGCGGTGAGCCGACCGACTAATCAAGAGAGCAGCAGCCCCCGTCATTTGGCAGTTGTTGCGGTACCTGATTGACACTGCTTTTTGTCAGTGTCGTTGTGAGGTTGTTTAGAAGCTACTATTACTGATTTGGCTCTTATTAGATACTACCTTTTAAAATCTTGTGTATCAGGGCTTACTTATTGCTAATTGTACTAGCAGTATATATTCCACACCACTGGCACTAGACCTTTCCAATATACATGGTAAACGAGAAAGCTACGGAGACGCCCAATCAAGACATTCTATGGGGACATTTGTACTCCGCAAAATCGTATGGAGTAAGTATAACAAGCGCTTCACCGCCCTCAGCGCCGCCCGAGTATGGGGTTCTGAAATGACGTTCATCCAAGTTACTGTTACCTACCTCCCACGGCAAAAGACAGAACTCTTCAGAAGCTAAAATGGCACGCCCTCGTGCTCTTTCGGGCGCAGATGGCCCTAAAGAGCCCCATGCAATTTCACTTAAAGGTATGGATGGCATTGCCGGAGTTCTCTTCCCCCTTGACGAAGCACTGGACTGATTGATTGATGAACGATCGTTCAGTCTTGCGGTAAGCGATTGCATTCCAACGGCAACTTCATCGCGCACTTCTCTTCTGACAATACCGACAAGGCTATCTCGTCCTTCCCTATCCTACCAGTATCCCTTACCGGCGGCAAACACGAAGATCTCGAGCAAAGCATCACTGAGCTACCCCGCCGATCACACGGACGGTCAATTCATCCTCACTCCCAATGTAAATCGATGCAGTCATGGTCTGATGTTTGGCTACTGACACTAAGCTTACAAGTTGACTCTACCTCCTGCCTTCGGATCTGCATACGTCGGCGAGACATTTGCATGCACGCTCAGTGCAAACAATGAGCTGTCTGCAGATGAGGCGTCACGTGTTGTCACCTCTGTCCGGATTGTCGCTGAAATGCAAACACCCTCTCAGGTAGCGGCGTTGGATCTCGATCCTGCGGAAGATACATCTCAAAAGGACGGGTTGCAGAAGGGCCAATCTTTGCAGAAGATTGTACGGTTTGATCTCAAGGAGGAGGGCAATCACATACTGGCGGTCAGTGTGAGCTACACGGAGACGTCGATAGGCTCGGATGCCCAGGCAGCAAGCGGCAGAGTCCGGACCTTCCGCAAACTTTATCAGTTTGTCGCTCAGCCCTGTCTGAGTGTACGGACCAAAGCTTCCGAACTGGTGCCCCTTGAAGTCGAAAACAAGAGTTTGGGTCCGTACGGGAAGACGCGCTTGCTCCGCTTCGCGCTAGAGGCCCAACTAGAAAATGTGGGCGATGGTCCGGTCGTGGTCAAGGTAGGTTGCAGATCGTGGAGACTTTCCTTTTGAAATCTCAGTAGCATAGCCGAGATCCTTGCTGCACGCATATTGATTTTTGGCAGCAAACACGACTCAACCCCAAGCCACCTTTCAAGTCCATATCCTTGAATTGGGACTTGAAAGGAACCGATCTGACAGATTCCCAGCCGCCGACTTTACATCCACGCGATGTCCTGCAGGTCGCCTTCCTGGTTGAACAAGAGGAAGGGCAGCAGGAAGGTCTCGAGGCACTACAGAAGGACATGAGACGCGATGGACGGGCTGCTCTAGGCCAATTATCTATTGAGTGGCGAGGTGCGATGGGAGATAAGGGATTTTTGACCACAGGAAACCTCATGACGAGGCGACGGGCGTGAGCTCAAAGCAAGGGCGGGGGGGTAATGACGCGTTTCTGAATCCTAGAGGATAGCTAGCTTACGAGTAGTGTTCTATCTCTGTACAACGGCCTATCTATGTTTAGCGGCCTGTCACCATGCGAAACATCGCAGCGAGGAGACGCCTGCAAGCGCGCCAGTTGCGAGTGCTTTTCTGCCGGTGCAAATGTTTCGAAACAGAGGAATCGAACAACTCAGCAGTGACGCACCATGCTGTGCGACCGATCAGGGAGGCCAATGGGTATGGCATCGTCTGCCGGGGGGGGGTAATCGATTAGAACTCCAGTCGCGATGGGTTAGCGACGACAACAATCCGGATGCTTGGGCTGGTTACACTCAAGCGTGCGTGTGCAAAAGCAGGTATTTCCGTCGACTGCCTGCAGTGGTGAGGGCTGTCCGTCTCTTTTTGAGTTGGCGAGTTGGAAACCTGTCCAACAAAAGTACAACCTGAAGGCTAGAACGCCCGACGGATGCGGGTTTCTATTGATAGTCTAGGTTGGGACCAGTAGTTGGAGAAGCTCTTTATTATTATTAAATTCTGGACCAGCCATGTGCTGTTCGTTTCGTCGATCTCGGGATGTATGACAACCAAAGTAGAGAGTGATGGAGCGTTGGGGTCACGTAAAGACTGGCTAGACCATTCAGACACTGATTGTCTAGATTCCAGACCACGTAACAAAGTCTAGAAAGGCTAGGCTACATGTGCATGGCGTACGGAGTACAGTACACTAGTTACAGTATCCTCTAGTCGGGGTTTTCTTGAACTTGATACACCTTGCCCATGGAGGGGAAACTAAATTCCCTCGGGTGACGCATAGAGGATGGTGTATTATTTTGTAACTATATCATATGTGTGTGTTTGTATGTGTTCTATCCGTGGCCATTACCTCTGTTCTTATGTAATTTTCTTTTCTCTGCCTCTCTTTACTTTTCTGCTCTTATACCCTAATACCAGCACCTAGACCATATTCCATTCGTGGTGGCCTATCGGGAAACAGTGAGTCGTGATGGTCGTGATCGCGGTAACCTGAGTACAAGTAGTATTTATTGTACTATACTTAGTTTGCGGCCGGGGAGAGTCTAGCCCGCTCTTTGGCCTGACATGTCCGGAACACAATGACATTGACCGTGTAGCATGATTCATGAATGGTCAGTATCAGACAGTTGGTGAGGCGGATCGAAGCTGTGTACCGGTTCAATGCGGCCCTCGTTGTTGGCTACAGTACGGAGTAGTATATTGATAGATGTGGGCATCATCTTTCCTAGCCAACTTCTCGAGGAACTGTTGCAGGGAACAAGCGGTTAACTCTAAAGGAAAGGGGCAGCAAGAGGTGCGAACCGGGGGGGGGGGCGAGATTTCATAAGTTTTACATGATCTGCCCCCAAATCCACCCTTCTTGCCTCGCCTGCTGTGGCACAAAACAACACACTCACCCCTTTTCTCCCGCCCCTCCCCCGTATCGGAAGGGAGTCGGGCATGTGCGCGCCGGCGGAGACATGCCCTCACAAAAGGAATTGCGTAGCCTGCCTGCCCTGTCAAGACTAACTAGTATAACTCATGTAACGGCACAAGCAGTAGGCATCGGGCTGGGAATCTCAAATGCTACGACCATGGGTCTCGGAGCCGGATCGGAATTGTTCCATCATGTTCGGTAGAATTACTTAAAACGATAGTATGTGTAGCGGCGCAGGGGTTTTCAATCATGTCGAGCATAAAAGTAATAGTTTAGTTGGTGGATGCATAAAATCTAATTATGCGGGGAAGTAAGGTTATGTAAGGAACCATTTACTTGGGTACTCGTAGGTAGGTAAGTTCTTTCCGTTGCAGGCGATGTCCTTCCTTCTTTTCTTTTGATTCTGGAGGGGGCCGTTCGCTCAGATTGAATTTGGAATCAAACTATTTATTTTTTCCTGCAGGGTTGATGCTGGTTCATGGATTGTACGATGTACCGGTAGTAGCGGCCTGAAGGTGGCTTTCATGGGCTGTCGTCGTCATTGTGGTAGCAGCAGCAGCACCACCACCACCACCAACATGCATTCGCCCTATTGACGTCAAATCCAACATGTGGTACTACAGATCCGAGACAGCCAGTGACTGGTACTTCCCAATCAGGAGGAATATCTTGCTGGGGTCAATGATCAATGATACTAAATCATTAGGATACTTGAGCCTGTGTCTATCATAATCAAACTCAATGAGTATTTATCGTCGAAGCCTCAGCTTTTCATCTTATCTGGGTCTGCTTAGAGTACATGCGTACATGCCGAGAATTGGTTATCGTCATTGCTGGGGGGGGGGGTCCACATCGATCATCGCCAGTCCACCCCCGGGCCATTCCCGGAGTGCAGCAGAGTTCGCCGATGCGAGATGCAACTAAGCAAGATCAGGTAGTTCCAAGGAACCTGAGTGCTGAGGTATGAAGTTGTCAGCGAGTTACTCATAACTTACTCCTCGATACCATGCTACCTCCCACCCCTCCTTTTTCTTATGTATTACTTCTGCCCTATGCGAAACCACCAATATATTCTTCATATTGTTGGACAGTTGCGGCCGAGGATGGCTAGTAGCAGCGGGACCTCGGCAGCTAATCTCCATTCCCTGTCCAGGGGAACATTTCGGCATCTGTTCCCCTATTCAGGATCCATTAACTGGTCTCAGGTCCAATAATACCCGGAACCATGGCTGCTTTGTACTGATCCGACCAAACACTGTCTCCAATGATCTCCGGGAGGCTGAGATGATACGATGACACTCACTCAACCTTCAACTGGCGGAAGACAGGATGAAGCTTCGATATGGCTATTTTCATACTAGACCCTCAGCACTAACTCTCGTACAAGGTGCTCCCTCACAGCACTTGGAAACATGACCGGCTCCCCAGCCAAATGCTGAAGAAAGATCGGATTTCGTCAGTAGGGCATACCTACGCGCGGGGGTCCCTAGTTTCAACATCAACCATTCAACGCTCAAACGCCCTCGGTCGGGGTTTGAGGGAAGACGTGGCAGAGTCTTCTAACCATTGGCAGGTAATTCAATTGCCTCTCTGTTTCAAATTGGCACCCTCCCTACTGAAGTGCAAGACGTAATGATCGTGGTTCCCATGGTTGTCTCGAACAGTAGTTCTCAGTCCATCTGGCCGCGGACCATTTAGGAGCAGAGATTAGCCAGTGAGCCAAGCACTATGTGTGCGACAGGCTCCACAGGGTCCGGCGATTGATATGCTCTCGTCCCTGTGTGTCTGCCCCCCTCACAGATGGATGGTCGGGAATTTGGGAGGGCGAAGGGTCACAGTGCGTTTGGCAGAATGGTGTCCTCTTGAGTCTTTGACCGCGAGTCGGTTCCTACCTTGTGTTTTCCGTTTGACAAAAAAATCTATCCGCAAGCACTTTGTAGGGCATGCGGTCCAGGTTAGTAGGAAGAAGGCGGGACCCGGCCCCGGTAACACCGCTGATGCCGGTGGGTGGTTGGAGACATTGATGCAGCCAACCATGCACACTTGCAGTAGTTCCCAACTGTACTCAGCCAGTCACAGTCCGGGTGAACAAGAGGATCTCCTACCGACTCGTCGTCTTGCCGTTCCAGTGTAGGTAGCCTGCACGTTTATTTGCATCATGGATGTTTTTTTCCTCCTTGTCTTTTCTTGGTTCTCTTGATCGGTTGTCTTTTTGTTACATCTGGTTCGTCCATATGAGTGCCTGATATTAATTATCATTCATCAACTGGAGGGGTAAATTTCAAATTCGGGAGGACGCAGCGGGAGTGGACTGTGATCAATTAGTCAAGTAGAAAGTGGATTGGTCATAGATAGAGAGACAGATGTAAGAATACTGTACCTAGTATGGATCCCCAAGCCGCGGCAAGAATGGATCGCAATCATCCAGCATTATACCGCGCAAGCAAGCACTATGAATGTGGTCTAACTTATGTATTGTAAGTTTGTAGAGGGGGGAGGAAAAGAGGAAAAAGGAAAAGAGGAGATAGATGGGGAAAACGGTCTGGCTGGCTGGGATTGGGCTTGAAGTTAATGGAAGCAGTTTCCCTCTTCCTTCCCTCTTCCCCTCTCTCTCTCCCTCCCTTCCTTCCAGACGCTGTGTAGTTTACGCAACCATCCGTCTACACTGCATGGTTCAAGACCTAGTTCGTACTAAACCAACTACGAGTCTACCTACGACGACTTAGTTAATATTACTAGGTGCAGTACTAACTTAGTCCGCGGTAACTACTAGTATGTACAATCTCCCAGAAGGGTAAAGGGAACAAGAAAAAGTTGGAACGCAGCAGAAACAAAGAGGGAATTATACTTGAATAATTCGTTTTTTCTCTCCTACTATTATATTGTCATCCTTTAAATAAATTCAGCAGGTACCAAAAAAAGTTAGGAAAAGCATCAAAATAAAATAGAAACCAAAGGTTAACCTTTTTTTTACCCTTAATTCCTCTAATTTCCCTCAAGAAACACAAAAGAGACACCTGTCAAAGCATTCCTCCTTTTTCCAGTTTGTCCCAATTCTCTTTCCTCCCTCTTTGGCCCCCTCACCTGCCCGCTCCTCCTCCTCCTCCTCCTCACTCCACTAACGCGGTAACTCCTTTTTCTTTTCTGTCAATGCATAGATCAACACCCTCTTTCTCACTTTTTGAACGTTCACCACTTTTCTTTCTTTCCCCCTCCCTCCGCCCTCTTGCGTCTATTCGGCGCTCGAGTTGCTCCAGGCTTCTATCTCCAGCCTTCGTGTCGTTCATTCAGGCGACAGCGTCGCAATCCCGAACATATGCGTTCTAGCTACTCCGACCTTCACTTGCTTGTTTATTCCGAAGCCCCCTAGTTACTCAAGGGACAAGGGACAAGGGAGGACCTACTAATCGTTTTTTTCCCGTTGATGCCCGTGGGAAGGCAATTCCACCTCAGGATTAGTGTTTCACTTCATGCTGTGACGAAGTCGACGATTCGTGACGATTGATGATTACAACCTTTCCGACAAGATGCCATTTTCCTCCTCTTCCTCGGCCTCTTCCTCTACGCCCGAGGCGTCGACCACCCCGCTCGCAGATTATTTTTGGATAGCCGGCGTGGATGGAACAGAGGTCCTCGAGACTTATCGCAAATTAGGGGATGATTACCGAGCCAACTGTGCCACCTCGCCGGGCCCCGCTGTCACGGATACTATCGAAGAAGATGCGGATGCGGAAGAGGCCCATGATCCTCGCCTGGATAGCCTTTCCCGTCCTATCTCCATGGCAGGGAATCGCAACTCGGTCCAACGGGTATCCACGCGCTCGGGTGATGCCGATGCGAACGAGAACGGCTCCCACAGCAACCGGAGCAGTATGACGATCAAAGGCAACCAATCCCCTCGCGGCTCCTCTTTCCTGGGAGACTTCGACTTTGACAAAGCGCTGTGGAAATTCGCGTCCGAGAGAGAGTCCTTCTTGTCTGATCTCAATGTAAGTGCGGGTGCTATCACCCCATCGACGCGCCCGCGGTCTAGGTTACGCACGCAGAAAATCGTCTCGGAGGAAGGCTCGCAACCGGCAGGTTTGATTCGTTCTAGTATTGGCAGCGTCCGACGACACATGGCTTTTCGAGATATGAACAGTATGAAGCGGCAGCCGTCAATTGCTCGTCAAGGTTGGTTATGGCCATTCGGGGTGTTCAACGTTAAGAATTCGCTGACAGCAGTCTATTGCAGCCTCGATTAGAACTTCGCGACGCTTGAGCAACTACAATTCCGTCATTCCAGTTCCCCAGCCGCTAGAGATCTCTCCCACCATGCATCCGCTGAAGCGACGGTTTGAGCCGGTCTTGCTGGATCGGTACCCCACACAGGGCATGTCTGATGAATTGAAACTGCGAGGCAACTTCCCCGACTACGTCCCGATGTTCGCATTCCCAAATGATATCAATATTGTTTCTTCCGATCAAAGGCCGCGATCTACATGGCACGGATTCGTCATGACCACCGACAATGGCTCACGCCTGCATGCTATATGCCTCATCATCTGGATTCCACTCAATCAGAAAGCTGCGGATGAGCTGGAGAAGCGCTGCGAGGAATGGCGGAAAGAGAACATGACGGATGAGGAACGAGAGCTTGCCGCGAGCTTGGGCGAGAGACTGGCAAGCGAGCGCGCCAAACTCTCACGACTCCTGGCTCAACTCCCCACGGTCCCGTCAGGATCAGAATCACGAGAACAATTGGAAGACGAGATTAGTGCGGTTGAGGAGAAGATTGGTCTGATGACTGACCTCCTGCGACCGGTGCGGCATGGTGCGGCATCGAAGATTGAAGGGTTGACTGATGGGGATACCGGCTTTTGGATCCCCCGCGCCTACGGCATTCTTGGTCGAGAAGAGAATATGACGAGTTTTTGGAAGGAGTGGCTGAAGGCTGTTGTCGTCCCCATGACGGATGGAGGCATCCAGCGCATCCCGCCTAGTTCTCCTCGAATGGGTGTCTGGCAACCCTTGGAACGATATGTGATGAATTTGTGCACAGAGGCATTCAGTCCAAACTCGTCCAAAACACAAGTAGAGCTGAACGTTCGAGAGCTGCGTCTTTTCGCCCGCAAAGAGGCTTCCAACGAGTTACCAGGCTCTCGCAACACCGACATTTACGCGCTGTTTCGCGCCCTCTCATTAGCCAATATCGTGATTCTCCTTGAATACGCTCTGACTGAGTCGCGTATCATCTTCTTGTCATCTCATACCTCAATGCTTTACTTGGCGACGAAGGCGTTGGTGGATCTGCTTTTCCCCATCCCGTGGTCAGGCGTGTTGATCCCAGTGCTTCCAGCCCGTCTGATCCAGGCTCTTGAAGCGCCTTGCCCCTATATTGTGGGTATTGAACGGCGTTACGAGAAGGTCGAACTACCATCTGATGATTTCGTTTTGGTAGATCTCGATGCCGACCTCATCGAGAGCACGGTCCAGCCAACCCCACTACCCCGTCATCAGCGCAGAAAGCTCCTGTCGTTGTTGCAGCTGGCCGCGCCTCATCATAGCCGGTGTGGGGTTCCGACCGGACCACCCGCCTATGCCGTTGAGACATATCCATTCGACGCGTTCATGTCGGAGAACTCTTCTATCTTTACTTCGAAAGCCCAGTCCACGCACTTGGCCAAGTACGTTAGCTTGAACTCCAGTGCTTTTGGTCAGAATTCCGTGACTCCGGGGTCATACCAGCCATTGATCTTCAACGCCTATCTCCATGCCCGCTATGAGCAGGCTGTATCCAGGGGTTATTCTTCCAAGGGCTCTGACCGACCGGGCACCGGGTCGACGTACAAGACTTGCTCACCGCCATCTCCCAGAGATAGCTCACCTACATCGGGACATTTCCCAGCGTCGTCCACCGGTCCGGGGTCGCGAAATGACTCAGGAAGTACGCTCCAGGCTTCCTTGCGCGAGAAACGCTCCGGTCACTTTGATGCAGCGTCTCGACGAAGCTCATCGTTTGGCATGGAGATGCGCCCTGGTGTTCCTCGTCGACCAAGCGCTCCCTTCATTGGTCATGCGTCGAACTTGTCGGTGACTACTTTGAATACCGATTATAACTCCGGGTCAACTTACGCACCCTCGGTATATGCCCAGTCTACGGTTGCTGCATCCACCATCGTTCCCACGACTGCGGCACAGCCTGTTCACAATGCCGAGGGCACATGTTGGGTAGAAGGACATTGCTTGCAGGTACAACCCTGGGACGAAAAAGCTGTTTGTGCTATTTGTGATGATCGGGCTGAGGATGGCATGTACAAATGTAGCGCCTGCAAGGTTGTGGTGCACAGCCGGTGCGCTCTTCAAATATGCCTAGTGTGTCCAGCAGCGTTTCATCCTGAACAAGTTCGTGCTGCTTTCGTCAGATGTTTCGCCAGCTTGTTTTATACATACAAGAAGTTCCTACAGCCCGCTTCAGGAGATAAGAAGAAGGCTGGATTGATCTATAGCTTCAATATGGAAGCCTTCATGAAGAGTTTACCAGGGGAACATGCAGAATACATTGCGGTACTGCAACAAACGCAAGGTAAGCGAGAATTGGCCCGCTATACAATCCTACACAATTACTTACGTGCCGCTAGGTTTCAATGAGTTCATTGGTGACCGAGAAAGAGCCAATCCGAAATCCCGAGATCCTCGAATGGCCCTCTTCGATGAGATCATTCTCTCCAAGCGCAATAGGGGTCGCTCATCGATTTTCTCCGGCCGCAGTACGACGGACTTTTTATCTGACACTTCCAACCACCTTTGGAGGACAGCCAGTGCCACCTCGTTTGCAGGGGGCAGTCGGAGTCAAAACGCTCTTTCGGGAGATTATACACGCGTCGTAATGCGAGGTTGGCCGCCCATTTCTCCTGCGAGTCGTTCAAAGCTAACATCTTTATGCCATGTGATAAGCCCCGGCCAAACTTGATACTAGTTTGATGAAAGAACCCCGCATGGTTCACGGAGCGCCCAGGGTGTCGAAAACGGCAAATAATGCGCGCAGAAAACCTCTCCCTAAACTCATGAACGGGCTCGCGATCACCCCCCCATGAAGTCACCACATCACATTGGTGGAGTGGTGTCCCTCCCGAAGGACAACGGGATGGTGCATCACACTTGTGTGACCGGTCTGTTAAGCATTTCTCCACTAAATGCGTACGCACTGGGGATGTTGCCCACGCAGTGTGGAGATGGTGAAATGAATCCCCTCCTTTTCCCCGACATAGATGCAATTAAGGAAGAGCACACGTCTTGACTGACTCTCGGATTCACATGAAACACATGTTCAACGGTGTCTTCCGTGTCAGCAAATCTCATGCTCGCCGATGATTGCGATGGGTATGGGACACCATTGTAATTCCTTGGCAATATTGGATTCTCACGATCGGTCTTCTTCCCCTAAAGGTCATACAATCGGACCCTGATTCCTTCGCGCCTATGCATCACCGCTATCCTGCTCACTTGCTTATCCTAAGGGGCCTCTTGAGCCTCTGACCTGTGCAATCATCATCTATGACTCCCTGAGCTCCTTGGTCATCTAATAATACACTGGCAGGCTCGCAAGGATCTGGCATTTTTCCTGGAGCATACAGATACATTGTCATATGCATTGATGTACACTACACATACCTACTACACTTACACCCGCAGTGCCACATACCCATACATACGTTGTGCCCCCATAGGTGGGTGCCTTGAACCTGGCCCTATTCCAACGGCCTTGACATTATTTCTTTCCCTTCTTCTGTGTCGGTTCGCTGTACTTTTGTCATCTGGGCCATGATGTCTTGCTGTCTTACTTACAATACCCCCTTTTCGAACGGTTGGTATTCACGGCTGTCCTCTTAGTCAACACGGTCACGCTCTTGCGCACCGTACTGCGCTATTCTCATAATCCATTGGTGGATTTAGTCGTCATGTTACATACCTTCCTGCACCAGATTAATCGGTATACTGTCCGGTTTTGGGACGATCTACTATGTTGCTTCGTTGATTAAAGCTGTGGGTCATTTAGACCCAGGTAACTTTAGTTCTACGTGTCATGTAAGTCCACGCCCGGCGGGAGGATAGTGGTTAGGGCTGGATTTCGTAGGATGGAGGAGAGCGGACGGCTGCCTGAAGGGTCAGTGGTCTCTTATTTACCCTGCCAATATGCGCCCGGCCGTAAAGGGGCTGACTGTTTTAGGTGGTTACAGTATCAGGGGCGTCGGCAGATGCGGTCAACCGCCACTCCGACGTGTGTAAACATCTGAGTCTGGGTACGACGCTGCAGTAGCATCTGGATCCGGGGCTCCGGGTAGGCGCGGGTGAATGCAGACCGACCAACAGTAGGCAAGGCCAGCAGGACTATTGGCGTCCATTTCCCTCGTATCATATTCCTTGAGTCAAAAAAAGCTCTAGAAGCGGTGGATCAGGGTGTCCGTGGCGACTGGGTTCAGGGTCGAAACAAGAGGGGTCTTTTGGTTTAGGGGGGTGGGGAGAAGACGGGGGGGGGCGAATCGCAACTTAGACATGTTAATAGTGACCATTGACAGAGGGGCCACTGTCCTGACTCTGATGCAGAGGAAATGAGCAATGTGGTGGATTATTCCTGAGAGGGAACTTCTAGGATGCATATCAGCCAATAGGACTGGGGTAAATGTGACAGTCAGTCATGCCTAGGTACTTACCTACCTAGTATCCCCAATTGCAAGCCTTGACACGAGATTGGAGATGATTGAGGTCAGGGTTGTAGGGAGTGTAAGGTAGTAAAGACTTACTCCTGCCAGGCTATTTGAATGTATAAGCCGTAGGCATTGTAGTAATGGACTGTATATTCAGTATGGATTGTATGTCCTGTATGTCCTGTATGGAGTATGGACTGTATGTCCAGTATGCACACACTACACTGCACACGGAGCGGGCAGAGCAGACAGTGATTGGCGGAGAAATGGCGTCCGCTGCCCCCCGGCCGGCGGAGGCAGAATTCCGGGGAAATTCACCCGGCTTTCCCACTGCTTACTTTCTTTCCCCATCTTTTTTCTTGTCCGTCGGTCTGCCTGATCTCCAGGCTTCTTTCTAGCCTGGCCCACCAGGTAGTAAGTTAGGTACTGAGTAGTCTACGCTCTACGAGGTACCGTCTCGACTACCGCCCCAATATTACCTTTTCTTCCCTCATATCTCCTCCCCACCCTCAACCCTCCTCCCTCCCTCCCTCTCTCTCTCTTCGTTCTATCTTTCTCTCCTCCTCTTTCTCTTCTCATCTTTCTCTCCCTCTTTCTTCCCCTCTCCTCCTTTCCCTCTTTTCTCCGGGCCTCCTGGCAAATGTCGTTCTCCCCCCTCTGGCTCCTTCCCGCTTTTACCCTTGGTTCTTGCTCGTCCTCCCGCGCTCTTCGCTCACCTTCTCCTCCTCTACGCCTACATCCGATCCTCTCCCTTCCTTTCCCTTGATTGTCTACTAGAGCTACAGCTAGTGGGCAATAGGGATCGGTCTTCTATCATTCCGTGCCCATCAATCACTACAGCCACCATCACCATCCAGCACATAAAAAGCGGATAAGATAGGGTTGTTTCCCCACGCTCGCTTCCACTCGGATTGTGCCAAACAGTCCAGTGTGTCCCCAACAGCGTGTGTGGCTGGCCAAGGGCTCCCTGATGCGACTGCCTGTCTCGCAATCCTGATCAGCCCCCTATTTCTCCTTCCGACTTAATCTGTCATCCTATTGCGCCTGTAACCGCCGGCTGGGATAGTACCGAATACTCCTCGTTACCGCAACCAAGCATGATAACGGGCAGTGGACTGCGTATGCGATGAGATGATGCAGACTGCCTTACAACAGCCCGTGGGGATGACGCTTTTGGCGGATGCTGCCACGTCCCTCACGGCTCTCAAAGGTTCAACGTCAATTGCGGTTTCTGCTTCCCCAACTCCAACTGCACCTCCGGAGTCCGCCCGGACCGTGGTCACTCTGTTTACCCCCGGACAGGAGGGCATAGTGCAGGTTATTGCGGAAATTTTGGGCAAGCCATGGACGACGGAAACCTCCTTATCCGCCCTGGGGAGGGGCAGCAGCGCAGTGGTTGTCGGCGTCCTAGCTACCAAAAATCTAGCCCGAGACTTGCAAGAGGGCGATTACACGGCCTGGATCCTCGTCAACACGCATTGTGTCGACGACGGCTCTTTCCCGGAGGAAGCACTGAGCGACTGTTGTCATTATGAGTTCCTATACTCCCTCCGGAGCCCGTTCTTTCGGCGGGATCTGACTCGGTTTCTCTCGTTGATCCTGGGCCAGACTCGTCCCCATGAGGATCTCAAGACCAAAAGCCGGACGAATTTCATCTCCACAACTTTCCCTGATGTCCATGCTGCGTTGCCAAACCTGGACATTCTCTCGGTTGGTTCAGATGCGGTGGAGATTCGTGTTGACTTGCTGGTGGACCCTGCAACTCCTCCCTCAGGCACTACGAGCGCAGTGCCGAGTTTACGGTATGTGGGACAGCAGTTAATGTTACTGCGGCAGCATACAGAACTGCCCATCATTTTCACCACTCGCTGTACGAAAGAAAATGGCAAGTTCCCAATGGACGATCCGCAGCTATTCTACCGTTATCTCCGCCGTGCCATCCAATGGGGGGTAGAATACATTGACGTGGAGTTGTGGTTGCCGGAGTCTATCCGCCAACGGTTGGCGGCGGAGAAGGGCAACAGCATCATCATGTCAGCCTTCCATGATTTCTCGGGGACGTGGAAGTGGACCTCCCCCGAAGCCCCACGGATTTTCGCGCAAAGCGCCCAGTACGCGGATATCGTCAAGATGATTGCGATGGTCACGACGATTGAGGCCAATTACGAGCTTGAGTATTTCAGGTCGGAAATTCGCAAGACTCACGGGGCGTATCCCCTGTTATCGGCGGTCAATATGGGCCAATTAGGCCAGCTGTCGCGAGCCCTAAATACAGTATTCTCGCCCATCACGCACCCATTGCTGCCGATGATTGCGGCCCCGGGCCAGTTGACCGCGGCGGAGATCAATGAGGCGCTCCACATTATGGGCCAGCTGCCGAAGCGCGATCTGTATGCGATTGGGTCGTTTCGCTCGACGCCACAGTCCATGTTCATGGAGAAGTGTTTCAACGAGCTGAGTCTTCCCCACTCTTTGACCTCAATCGATCGCGGACCAATGGGATCAGTCGAGCGGGTGCTCACTCAGGCCACCTTCGGCGGAGCGTCGGTGCATCCACCGATCCCGAGCGGTACCGGGTGCATTCCGGCCGTGAGCGAGGCAGCGCGAGCGATCGGGCTGGTAGACACGATTGTGGCTAGCCCTCAAGGTCCGCAGAAGACCTTGGTGGGAGAGAACGCGACATGGAAGGGGATTCGAGCAACTCTGACTCGGGACTACGTGCCGTCGGCATACCGCGGCCGGACGGCAATCCTATTGGCGGCCAGCGAGAGTGAGGCATCGGCAGCCATCTATGCCCTGCGCAGTTTAGGAGTGGGTGCGATCCACACGGTGGGCTTCCGAGCCCGAGGTCCCTTGGCAGCGGGGCTTGAGCCCTTCACCTCCATTCAATCGGTCAAACGGGTTGAACAACCGTTTGTGATGGTATCCGCGCTACCCCCGGAGAAGTCGTTGCTAGTCCAGCCGCTGCTGCGACATTACCGGACCAGTGGGCACTCGTCACCACCGTCTACTCGAGGCAAAGTCTATCTCGACCTGACCCGGGGGGAGCGCACGGGCGACCCTGTAAATGTAGCTGTGCGTGCAGGATGGACGGCCTATGGAATTGAAGACGTGGATGCGTGGACGACGGTGGAGACGCTGCGCTTGCTGGTGGGCCAGAATGTGCCATTTGACTTTGTGCGGATGGCTTCAGGACGGGTGTTCTGACTTTGATTTCCTTTCTTTTTTTTCCCCCTTTCTATTCCTACTTCTCTCATTTTCTTCTTTTTCTCTCTCCTCCACGTCCTTATCTTCTCTCGGTTGTTTTTGTCTGTCCTTGGAGACGAACGAGGAGAAAGGAACCCGGGATTGATTACTATACACTGATTTGGGCCAGGAGTTCGCGCGGTGTAGACTGTATGTTATTTTTTCTTCTATTCTGAACCAGCCAGTCAACGGCTGTCGGCATGAATGACATGAAACGAAACAAGACCGAATCTCTCGTTGGGGCTTAGGGAGAGGGGAAAGGGCGGAGAAGGAGAGAAAGAAACGGCAAGGATCTACAGTGGATTCCGGGGTAAGTGGGAGGGAGCTGCAGAACTGAAGTATAACGACTATGTAGGTAGTAGAGCATTATGTGCAAATGTATAGTCAGTATAATATGTACGGTACAGTACATATATAGCGTAGTCACCGGACGGCAATCCGTGCTGGAAGCGGGAAAATCCCGGGGGATACCTAGTAATGATGATGGTTTTACCCCTGCAGCTTTCCCAGCTTCCTTCTTCTTCCCCTCTTGATCCAGGATGATTCATTTCTTCCCGTCAACCTTTGGACTGATTTTGCAATCGAATCAGACTGCAGTGACTGACTGACAATGCTTCTGATTGCTTAATTTACCCTTACCCCCGCATCGATTCCTTTTCCCTCTTCTCTTTCCCCTCCATCTTCTCCCCCGCTAAGCCTTTTTGACCCTGCTGTCCCCACTGGGTTTCTCCGCGTTTGCAGTGCAGCCAATAAATCCGGGGGTGCTGGGCTTCTTCTTCTCTCTTTTCCCTTCTTTCTCTCGCGCTGTCTCTCGCGGTCTCTTTCTCTTCCTCTCTCCCACTCTCTCTTTTATTTTTGAATCTCTCTATCACTTTGCCTCTACTATCAGTGATCAACTATTACCCTTTCCTCTCCTCCTCCCTCATTATCTACCTGACTTGACTCTGCTACTTCCTCCCCTTTCTTCTCTTCTCCCTATTCATGTTATAGAGAATGCCATGTCCCGCCCCCAGGTCAGCATCGACCGTCTCACACCCCGACGTGTTAATGTCGAGCCCCGCGAATCGATGAACTGTAAATCCTGTCGGAAACGCAAGGTAAAATAAATCCCGACCTGCACAAAATCCCCCGCTGACGACCTGCCTCTCGCCCTTTTTCTCTCGATTCAGATCAAATGCAACCGTCTGCGCCCGAGCTGTGAAGCCTGCAAGGTCTTCCAGTGCCCATGCATCTACGGTTCGTTGCTTGCCTGCTCCTCTGTATCAATCTTGATGTTTTATTTTGTTTTGTTTTGTTTTGTTTATTTTCCCCTTGGGCCCGATCAGACCATATGTGCACCTGCCGAAATGTCTTTCTAATTCTTGTTTCTCCCTCGTTCTCCACCTCAAGTACAGCACTCACAATTTTTCCTTCCAGATGCTGTCCCCAAGAAACGCGGACCCAAGACGGATGTCTTGGAAGCTCTGTTGAAGCGTGTCGACGGGCTTGAGAAACGTCTGCAGGAGGATTCTCCAATTTCACCCGTCCCGTCCGTCTCGCCCATGAAGTCGGGCGAGCAGCAGCAGCAACAGCAGCAGCAACAGCAACAGCAACGACCGCAACCCCCGCCGTTGTTACCCCCAGCCTCGGTGGCCTTTCCGCAACCCCCACCGCCGCAGAGTTATGGACTCCCACCTCGCTTACCCGACGCCATGCTCGACACTTATTTTTCTCGTTTGCATGGTAAGCCTTACTGGATTCTAGACGAAGCCCAAACCCGACAGCGCCATCAATTGGGTCAATTGCCTGTTCATTTGTCTATGGCTATTTACGCCTTGACGTCACGGTATTTTCGGCCCTTCCCCCTCCATGCTGAAGCTTTCGTACTAAATTAGTCTTGCAGCTATACCAATCCCAACCCGGTCCTCGGCAGTCAGGAATATGCGCGACAAGCTCGCCGCCTGGTGGACATCGATAACCCCTCGATTGACGGCACACAGACACTCTTGTTGCTCTCTCAAACCTTTTTCGCCCATGGCTGTGGGAAAACGGCCTATATGGTTCTCTGTGAGTCTATTCCGATTTTGGTCAAACGGCCGAGACTAATTTCTTTGCCAGCAAATGCGGTGGCTATGGCCTTGGCCCTGGACTTGTATCGCGAGGTCTCCATCCCCACCCTGCCCGCCTCCGAACGTGAGATGCGCCGCCGGCTGTTCTGGACTGTCTACACCATGGACCGCTTCCTGACTTGCGGCTCCAAGCGGCCGTGCCTTATTGCAGATCACTCGATTGCACTGCGGCTACCGGGCGCTGGCTCGGAGACTGGAGAAAGCTTCAATCCTGTCGGCCCTAACATTCACTATTCGCCCGACCGGCGCAAAGGCCCTGGGGGCCCAACTTTACTGGTCGACATTACCCGTATACTAGGCGTCACTCACCGGTATTTAGCGGCGGGAGGTGTCAAAGGCGACTCCCATTTTCCGTGGCATGCATTGTCCAATTTGTCCAAGATCCGACAGGAGCTGGACCTTTGGGCCGCCGGCACGCAGGATCTCTTTACCTCAATCGAAACGCTTTTCGGCCACCCAGAGAGTACACTATTACTACTGAGCAAGCTGATCTACCATCTAGTGCACTGCCTGCTTTACCGTCCCTTCCTTCCCATTGACTTGGTAGAACTGCGCGGCACCGGCCAGCATCAATCCTGGCAAATTGAGGCGACCACGCTCTGTTTCTCGCACGCCAATGCAATTGCCGAGCTAGTTGAATTGGCCCGACACGCTCCACGCATAGAATGGCCGTCACTCGTGGCGTACTGTGTCTGTACCGCCGGCACGGTGCATGTACACGGCGTGCACTACCACGGACGTGAAGGCGAGGTGTTCGCATCCAGCGCCGACTTCCTGAATCGTGAAATGCACCAGTTGGCCTGGCTGCGGCAGTATTGGGCCGGGGTGCAGCATCAACGGGAAATGCTACAGCGCATTGCAACCTGTCATGCTGACTTGGTACGCACAATGGCAGCCCGCCCGGTCCGGTTTGCGCCTGTCTTTCACCTCGAAGACTTTTTCGACCGGTACCCAGGCTTGGCTGTTGAGAGCGGACACGTGCGGTTGGTGGATGGAGATGAGCCGTAAGCCATTGACCCGAACCGCTTGGCTGAAAGAAACAAATCTGCTAACCTGCTTTCACAGCCTCCCGCTCCTTGACCGACAAGACTTCCCTGGTGGACTCATCTATCCTGCTACGGCGACGCTCCCATCCCAAGGACGGCCATCGATAAGCTTCCAATCGTCGCAGGCGTCTCCACCGTGGGGCCCCGGGCCTGACTTGACTCTTCCGGAAACCAGTCTGGGATTTTCTCCTGGAGTCAGCAACTCCCCGGCGGCTTTCTTGTCCGAATCTTCCTTTACTGCTCCCACACCACCGGCCCAGCCACAATACGCAACGTTCCCATTCGAGGCCACGCCTGGCGCGGCATTAACACCAGACGCACCCTCTCAAGGCAGCTCTGGCACTATCACTGGAGGCGGGGCCGGAACCAGCGACGGCGAGAAAGATCCATTCCTCAGTCTGTTGGAGCAATTAGCAGAGAATGAAAATTCTCAGGGCGGGCCCAGTGAACTGGACTTCTTCCTAGGCGAGGGATTGGACTCGGTCCCCGTAACCGATGATCATTTGGTGGGCCCAAACAGCTTGCCCGAACCCGAGTGAAAGCCGATGATGGCCCTGCGATTTCGCTCACCTCCCCTATCTGATAACGGATCTGGATATCTTGCTGAACCTTATGAGCATACCGCAAACAGATACCCGGGTAATGATATCATACCACGTGACTCTCAAGGGGGGTTTCTAGGAGGCCATGTGATGATGCGGAGAATAACCTTCAACATTCTTGCTTTTACTATCATGGTTGTATCGAGGAATCATGGATTTTCGCATCGATGCCCTCGCTACGGCCAACGATTGGGTTCAGGGCTCGCCGACGCGACCGTATACCGGTATCGTCAGCCTGTATATGGCCGATCAGCTCTCCGCTGAGACGGCTGCGCGGGAAATCGTCAGCGTGATCAACGAGATGTATTATGGCGGAAACAGCGGGCTAGTCGGTATGCCATCTTGGACCTAATGGTGATATCTTATTCATACCCTGGTAGAGGAGGGCCTTATCGATCTGTGGCGAACAATCGCGCACACTTCTAAGACGCTGGAGCGATCGATATGTATCCGACAGCCATATCGGACTGAACAAGAGCCATCGATTGACGGCGATTCGCCGACAACGCCTACAGCTACGCAGCCCGCGACACACCCAGACCGGTCATACTACTCATCCACCCCAGCGCAACGCAAACTCCTCACCCTTCTCAAAGCCATCAGAACCTTTCCCACGACCGACCCCATGCCCGGCACAATGGCCAGAACTAGCCATCAACACCACCCCTCCTTATCGCCCTACCTCGGTGCCACTGTCTTCTCCTCGTCGTCATCATACTATGGGTCATCCTTGAGTAGCAACAACAGTGATTGGGGTGGCATGCTCGCTGATGACGCGGAAACTCGAATCAGGTGTAAGAGGGGTATTTGCTGGGCCGCTCTGCCATTTTTCCGTGAGGTCATTGCAGAGATATTCCAGGAGGATGCTCCGGGAGATTGGTTTCGACGACCATCACAATCGCGGCACACCGCACCTGCACCTGCTAGTACGGAGTCACGGTCGATAACACCACTTTCTAATGCAAAGTGGCCTGAAGCACTGACAGGCGCGGAGCCCTCGCCTCATTTCCATTCCACTCACAATCCTATTCCTGATCAGCTCAAAATCCCCCCGCCAAAAGTTGGCTTCGAGCATTCTGAAAGTGAGGCCTGGCTCAACCTCACCTCATTTTTGGCATTCATGAGCAAAGAATCCATCCTAGATTCCCTTGACGATGTCGGCCTCGTCATGATGGGATCTGTGTTGGGTAATGAGGGAAAGGCTCTTTCTGCTCCTGCTTCTGGGATCGGCAGCCATTCCCACGGCCAAGGTGGGGATTATCCCCTTTATCTTCAGAGTCAACCTGAGAGCTCCACTGGCTGCATCGTCACCAAACCGTGTCTTGACCTTTACATCTCGGCCGCAGCCATCTGGGCCGTGATCACGGGCGATGATATCTGGAATCGCAGGGGTGATGACGCAGGAAACGAGTTCGTGGTGGGACTGTCATTGGACGATGATGACAAAGACGGTGACTCAACCATGCTAAGGAGGACTGCCTCCATGTCGCTGGGGAGTAGCAGCACAACAGGCTCCACTTCGACCATGTCTGGTGACCCGTCAGGCCTGGCACCCACCATACCCGCAAGCAAAGAAGCCAGGGCTATCCGTAAAGCCAAGGCCGACAAGCGGACCCCGCGAGGAGACGGCAAGGATGCTATCTCCCGCCGGACGTGGGACGCGTGGATCGGCCGCCTTCGGGCGGCTAGCTGTCGTGAGGATATGGCAGCGTCAACCAGGTCAATCGCTGCAAAGGCGGCGGACGTGATGTTGAGAGCTTGCACGTCGTTGGATGCATAATGTCACTATATACTAAAGATCCACCGAGCGGGAGGGCACCCAACTCGTCAGGTCACATGGCTAGGAAGAATAATGGAATAATCATACATATACGCTCCAGCCGAGCTCCCATTTCATTAATGAATATCTCTGTTACCCGTGGGCAATCAAACCAGGTTGGGGTGATACCGTAGGCTCAGAGCACACTGCTACCGCGCTTTGTTCCTTGAAGAGAACCAATTAGCTTCCACTACCTGAGTTCTGAATAAAAGGATATGTATGACATATAGCTTCATCTATAATTGCCAAGTCACTTCACAAGAATGGGTGGAAGTGGATAGTCCATGCCACGTACAGTAAATGAGCGTATATAAGTGACACTCCACGATTTAATGCATACATAACGAATATAGATTAAGAAGATATAAGGGAACAGAACCCCACCCCCGGCAATGAACTTCTTAAGATAGCCTCGCTATGAACGACTCGAAAAGTTTCACAAAACTGAAAATATGTGTCTAGGAGAACTTGACCCCTTTACTTGGATCCCACGTCCCTGCTGCTCCGCCGGCCGCCCCGAACCGAATCCCCATTTCCGGCGTCCACATGCCCGGCGTCATCGGGGGTCGCGCGTTGGCCCGCGTCGGTTGCGGGGCGGTCATGGGTTCCGCGCGGGGCGGCGCTTGGGGTTGTTGCGGTGTCGTCGGGACTGCTACCGGAATGGGAGCGGCTTGGGGTTGGGGCGGCGGAGCGGGTGCGGTGTACGTTGCTCGGGACTGTTGCTGCACTGGTACAGGTGCTGTCGCTAATGGGTCGTATGCCTGCTGTGGAGTCTGGCTATAGTGTTGCGTGGTCGGGCCTGTAGATGTATATGACGGCTGTCGTTGTTGCTGCTGCTGTTGACGAATAGGTGGGGAGAGGTTAAGTGAGGCCATTGCGGCAGCACTGGATATGTCACTATGCAGGAGGCGGTTAGCTCAAATGGTAAGGAAAGGGGGCTGGCTCTTTTGGGAGAGGGAAAGAGGCTGCTCACGCTTCGATCTGACTAGCTTCCATCCTCCGCTTGTGCACAAAGGCCTTGCAATCGTCGCGAAATCGTCCTACGATCTTGGCCAAGTCGTTGTAAAATTTGCGCCCGACTTCGATGTTGGATATGATCTCCTTGTACTTCAGGTATCCGTTCTCCAGTTCCTGCAGGGCACGTTCTCTTTCCTTTGTCGACGCATCGCCAGTATGTGCGCGTGAGAAGGCCCGGTTGGCCTCGCTGATGCGTGATGCGAGCTGGTCCTGCTCCTGCTGTTCCTCGGCTACCATTTGCAGGTCGGTGTCATACAGGCGGAGCTGCTCCTCGAAAAGATCCTCAAACTGGCTCGCCTGAATGGGCTGCATGGGAAACTCGCGTTCCAAACGGGCAGTTTCCTTGGTTAGTGCTCGGCCTGCTGGGTGGTTAGTTCTGAGTTGTTAGCATTGCGTGCACCGATTTTACTCACTGATATCATCCGCCCGCGCCTTGTCCTTGAGAGCCTGCACCTGTCGCTTACGGCGGCTTTCCAGTCGATTGACCTCGCTCAAGCATCCACGCAATCGCGTCACCTCCCGCTCAACCTCGGGCGGAATCGCGGCCCTGCGACTGCTGGGAACGTACAGTTCGAGGTCCCGATTTGTGCCGGTCAGCACCCGGAAGACCGCCTCCGAGGCTTTCAGCTTCTGTTCCACGAGGTTATCGCTACTTTGAGCTGACGTGAAGTACCCTTCAATCTCTCGGGACGTTGTGTAGAGCTTAGAAGCTGCTTCTTCGGACGACGCACGTGTCCACCGGTCAGTGCCATACCGGCGGCGTGATGCATCATCTTCTGCTTTCTCGGCCGCAAGAAGCTCTACTCCTTCGGCGTATACTGCTCTGTCGTTGCCCTTGACCTTGGCCGTATCCTCGAGAGACCTACGCAACCGGTAGAGACCATCCTGCTGGCGCATCTCCTCTGCGTGAGAGACCAAGGTCGGGGGTAGTCCCAGCGGCTTCTCGAGTGCTTGTAGGGAACCTGGGAGGTTGAGGGAAGAAAGCAGACTAAATTTGTCAGTAGGCTGGTCCTTATGTAAGGGTTCGAGGCACTTACTCTCGCAGTTTGTCCGTCATAGTCTCCAGTTCTCCGATGATTCTCTCGTTGACTAATCTATCTCTTCTATCAGAGTAGATGCTAGCCGCGATATGCACCGCGTATGGTACCAACTTCGTGAATAGCGGCTGGCCTAGAGGCCCGTTCTCCCCAAGCATCGAGACGGCATCTGTCACCTGCGACGGCGCTTTCGCGGCCACCATACACGCGCGATCGATCAGTCTCAGCTCCGACTTGGGCGGCACGGGATTCAAGTAGATGATATCATTATCCTTCTCCGCGCGCTTTAGATCCTCCGTGACGCGGCTCTTGAGGCCCTGCAGATCTCCCAACACCGTGCGGTTGATCCAACGGGACTCCTTGAGCGCCTCGTTCACGCAGAGCTCACTGTCCTTCAGCCGCGCCACCTCCTCACCATACTTGCGTTTCTCCAGGCAATCCAATGACTGCCGGTACTGCGCCGCGGCCGCGAAGTGATGGTGCTTGGCAGTCATGTGATGAATCCACTCCGGGCTGATCGCATTCGACTTGACCGCATGATCGCCCGCGTCGGCGTAGAAATCCGAGACCTTGGCGGCCAGACGAGCGATCGAGGCGTCCTTCAGCCCGTCCTTCACGGCCTTCTGCCAGAAACATTCCTGCGCTTGCGCGAGAAGAAGCTGTTCCAGGCTCTGAAGAGTCATCTCGTCCATGTCTTCCGGCGGAGATGTGCGAAGGTCCGGTAGAATATCGCATCGGAGGTGTACCAGAACGCCCGCCGCTTGGCAGAAGTAGTTGCATGCCTGCTTGAGTCCGTCCGCAGTGGTTCGGTTCACGGAGAATGCGAGCTGCGAGTACAAGGCCGTGAGATTGTATATGATGTTGGCGAGTTCGAATCGAAGGTTGTTTTGCGAGACTATGCAGTAGCCCACAGATATTAGCTTGAGGGGATTCTCTCTTGTCAGGGTGCTCCGAGCGGTTCGCATCTCTTTTAACGTACTTGGTCTCGAGGTGTTGAATCCAAAGGCCGGGTACCATGGGAATTCCACGCCAACCTGCCGGAGTTCGAGCAATTAGCACAACCGCTACTTCGTCTTCAAGTCCACAGATCTCTCATGCAGGGGTGCACTTCGATATCTGTCTCCAGAAAAGGCATGAGCGGACATGGCTTACATCGACTGGAAATTTGCCGCCAAGCCACTTCAGCTGCGCCGCGTAGGTGACCAGGCGGCTGATTCCGCTAACATGTGCCTCCTGGACATTGATTGCCTCGCTCCGTAGCCGGTCGATGATCAGGAGATCCTCGGCGAACATATCCGGACGCTGGTCATATTTCGAGGAGATGTACTGCGTAATGGCATCGTTGAGGGAGACGGGGTGCGACCGCCGAAATGGGATCTGGAGGATACTACTGTATCCGAGTTAGCGGGTTCCAGAGAAGGTTAAGAAGATTGAGTTCACATACGATGCCATCGTGTCCTTCGATTGAGCGCACGCAGGCGAGTGAGAACGGTCGGCCGATGGCGGGGAAGTTTTGTTGACAGAAAAGCCCAATCCTGGACCCCGCCGGGGCAACGCATGACGTTTTAGCTGAATGCCTGAGGCAGGGATACCCACCGTCAGGTACACTTATACATATACTGAATTATGTCTACATTTATATACTATAAAAAGCACATAGACATCCAACATAATTCATTCTGTATTTGCGGCTTGGAGCTCATGCCATTATGTACTTGAAGAAGGATCATAACAAAATTCCGACCATATACGCCCCAACAATACACAAACACACACACACACATGTACTGTACGCATTCCACCCGGTCAGTGAGCCTTTCATCATATACTAGTCCAGCTCGTTGATCCTCATTTTGATATACTCAAAGATACTAAGGAGGATCATATTATTGACCCCCGTCCGTATCAATATAATCGAAAGCCCCTTGTACATGCTCGATTTGGCTACCGCGGCCGTTGCCTCGCCCACCTCCTTTGTTTTTCCGAGCAGAACACTCTGTGCACGAGTTTTCCGGGTGTCAAGGGGATAGGTCTACTTCAGTTAGCTGGGAAGCTGGTATCAAGCGCTGGACAAAGCTTACACAGAACCAAGGGACGGTGCTGCATATGGCACCCGCAATCATGGGCGCCCCGAACGGAGACTTGTCAGGACCCAGCTCCTTCGCTGCAAGTTGCTTGACGGTTTCATAAACGGTGAAATAGAGACCAGAGCCGAGCGTATCCCGCATAGCGTGAAGATGAAAACCCGTGTACAACCCCCGGATCCCATACCGCTGGATGATCTGTTTGATGGCCTCTACGGTTCCCAGGCGTGGTTTTCTGCGAAGAGAAGGATCATTGACTGCGTTGGGGGCGGCCTGTGCACGGTTCGCAACCAAGACCGAGGTCTGAACCACATTTTTGGCGAGCTCAAAGGGGCCTGTCGCACGTCAGCGGGCAGAATTCTTGCTAATGATCCACAGCGACAGAGCTCACAGGCTAGGGGGGAGGTAATAAGACCAGCAACAAGGCCAGCAGCGGTGAAGGTGAACAGCGTCGACAAAGTGGGGCTACTGCCTGGCTGGTTATACATCGCCAATGGCGATTCCCCGGTCATTCTCTCAATGAAATCAGAGATTCGATGCTTGGCCGCGTTGTACGTTGTAAAATTAACCACTCGGACCGCCGTAACGCTTGCTAGAGGTGGCAGGGCTCCTGAGATTCGACATTTATATTAATGCTCTGTCGCGCAGAACCCAAGGGGCGATGTCGACCTACCAGCAACGTAACCGCGGGGTCCTTCGGTACGCCACAGGTAGCGGACGCATTGGAAGACATTCTTGAAATTATGTCTGCATCGAATCCATCAGCAAGGAACCTCAACCATCTCGTCCCACGAGCGAATCGCACTCACGTCTGCATACGAGTTTTGACATTTTCCAATGGAGTCTACGCCAGCCGTTCGCACCTCCGGTCAGCTTATTCCATGGCTCCTTCGCTTCTGCTCGGTGTTGACCTACCACAGCGAGAGTGGCACAAACTGTCGAAGTCGCCGAGGCCACCTGGGTTTTGTACCTCTTGAGCAGTCTGTTTCGCTTGGCTTCGTCCATAAGCCAGGGACTTCGGTTCGACATGGCTAGGGGAGGAGATTTCGAGGGGGTCGGGGTGAAGGGTGCATGTTCAGCGCGTTTGTCTAGAGTCATGCCTGAAGGTATCCCATCTGCGGCAGATGAACAGGCCTCTTTGGTTGTGAATCTTAGTTGAAATGGCTGTGGTTATAGGCAGATCGACAGGAACAAGCAGGCTGGGGAACCCTATGGAACGCAAAGCGGTCTCTCAACGCGCGAGCAGACCGTTCAGCGTCCCACAATTATCCATGAAGCAGATACCGACAATCTCCTGAACAATTTTCTTTCACGGCTGAAAGAAAAGAGGTATTGCCTCTCAAAGGGTGGGGTCGACGGCGGTCAGTGGAGGAGATCGCACCAGCACACAGCAGCTCTGGGGCTACTGAACTGCTACTAAATATTCCCCTGGGTCGAATAGGCGACGTCCAGCTCGAGAGCGCACTGAGAGGTCGCGAATGAAAGATTTGAGTCCAGATTCAATTTTCTCTTTCCACCAACTGGGGCCTTGCACTGTTGTCCAGGAAGACCTATTGAGGATGCACAAGGGTGAGCCACTGCTTTTCAAAGCACGCCAGTCCTCGCACCTTCTGGGGGGGATTAAATTCTCATCCGCGAGACGACAAGCCCCACGTACCTATGCGGAACAACTGCGACGCAGTGTGGTGGCAGCCGAAGGCCAGAGTCGGGAAGACAATGGACTGTGCTGATGGCAGGGAAGAAGAATAAGGTCGAAGAAGAATGGAAGGCAGTTTACGGTAGTAAAGACTAAAAAGAGAGAAGGAGGGAGCGAGTCGACAACCATCACGACTAGACAAGATGGGGGTACCAGAAAATCGCTCAACCAGTGGGTGAGCAGCAGTGGTACTTTAGTTTGGGTCAGTTTCAGCAGTTAACTTTAGTGAGCCTAGTCGGTTTTAGTTTGATCAACTTAGTCAAACTACTCGGTAGTCCTTCGAGAATTTCGGGCAGAGAGCATGGATGATCATTAATTCATTACTGTGGACTGTGGGGTGTGGGTGGGAAGCCACTCACTGGATGATTGCCCAGTGGATCACTGGATCACTGGATCACTGGATCACTGGATCACTGCAGTGGCTGCCCACTTGAACAGGCTTAGTGGGGTCCCTGTCCAGTGACGTCGTCGTGAGGCATCCAGTGCAACTTTGCAAAGCGTCAAAATATACTAGGTAGACTACTCCCTAAAGTTGTTTCTGCATCCGTTCAACGGAGAAACGGTTGAGAAGATGGGTTTGCCCATCCAATTGACTGGTGTGCCTCTGTTTCCATCTGTTTACTTAGCGAAACGATAATCGAGTAGCCCCTCGTGGGTCCGTTGATAGTCTACATAGTACATATTTCGCTGCGAATGTTTAACCGAGCGGGAAGTGTTTATCCCTCATTAGACAACCCCCGCTATAAGCCCATCCAATACTCCTCCACGCGCACACACACATACTCAGGATGCAAATATGAATAGTACTCAGTACCTCTCGACTTTGGACATTGAGCGATGTTATGATACGTGGCAAAGAAGGGAAGGGAGCTGCATCGGACCAAACCAGTCCGGTCGGTGGTTGCGGTGGTTGCACCCGCCGCCCGGACGGATCGTCTACGGCATCGAGGGCGGTAAGAATAAATCGATCAATCAATCAATCAATCAATCAGTCCATCAATTACTCTACCCCGCCCTGGCTGAACCACATTGCAAGCCACCAGTCAGGATCTGATGGTTGATGATTCTAATCCTGTGGTCCTTGCTTAATACGGATGCAAAACTTGCCAGTCGGTTGTTCTGCCGGTGCTTACTGCTACATGTGTATTACTCGTATATATTAAGATATGTACAATAATATAAGGGTGTAAGAGCACTGGGTAAGTAGACCAGTCTTCAGCCCACAGTTAAAACATGTGGCAAGAACTCGGCAGGCAAGTCAGTCCTTTCTGGGGTATGTGGTGTGCCACATCAAGGTGTTGAATAATATCCCCCACCTCCCACCTCTCCTCTTTCTGTCGCGACAAGCATAATTTACAAGCTTCACATGCAAGTTAACCACATGAACGATCACCATCATGCTTCCCTGATGACCCAGTTCCTCACTTCAAAACTCGATACTCTATATCGAAGGCTTGGCCTAGATCGCCAGCAACGGGCTGAAGGTAGACTGTGGGCCGTTCGAACATGCGTGCGCAGATAAGATGATCGCTACTCAACCATGGAAGCTTTTGGCTGGGCCGTGGCACTGGTGTCGTTAAGTCATCTTGTGCTGGGTCGGCCAAAATTCCAGTTAACAGCAGTGCCAGCATCGAGGACTCCACGATCATCATTGGCTCTTTAGGCAGACAAAGCCTTGTTGGTGATACCTCTGATCGCTGCACTGTCTTGATTGAACGAATCTTCTCTCCGATATTCGGTTGGCGTTGTCGATCCACGGAGAGGTGCACGCACCCTTGAGATCATGGATAGTATTCTGTAGCAATCAAATGGAAGCAACGCTATGGTCACTCGATTTGCGTTAATGCTAATTGGTGGGCAACTCCCGTGCTTCGTACCGCAATGCATCTCGAGGAAACAAGACAACAGGGAACAAGGAGCGTGGTCAGGCTACTCAATACCCCAAGTAGAAGTAGACAGGGAATTGACTCAGTTGAGTAGACTGCAGCATCCATGGTAGCACCAGTCTCAGCAGCCAAGGTCTGTCTTCATCATATATTATGCGAAATCCTCAGTTCGGGATTTCCAAAAGTACTGTACAGTATATATACTCAATATACTCGTCCTAGGCTCGTGCGTGATATGATTCATTCTCAGGTGTGACAGGATCCAAAATGCTGAATATTCCTAAAGAATCAGAAATCTCGCTACTGTGTTCTGCGATGCGGAAATAGGATAATTTCATCATAAACTCTATCATTATTGTTCAATCCTCATGCAAGGTAAGGTAAGTGGGGAGGGAGGCTTACCCTCGGGACCTCGGTCCCGTAGGCGGTTTCCCCGCAAAAAGGAGCGTTACTCCGCATCGGACCACTTAATGTTTGCACTACCACCATCAAAGCACATAACTACGCCTGCCATACTACCCCCTGAATCTCGCGTCGCTCAAGTCAACCAACTTCGAGCAGAGTATCTCTTGACACATATATCAGATCCAACTCGAATCGGATCGCGACCACTAAAAAAAGAACCCCCCTCATTTCTTTCTCCGACCGATCAACATGGGTAAGAAGCCTTCAGGTCCCGCCTACGTTCTGGGCGTTGGCATGACCAAATTCATAAAACCGCGTGGCAAGGTTGATTATCAAGAGCTGGGTTTCGAAGCTGGGGTCAAGGCTATGCTGGATGCCCACATCATCTATGACGAGGTCGAGCAAGGGGTTGCATGCTACGTGTACGGAGATAGTACCTGCGGGCAGCGCGTCTTTTATCAATTTGGACTCACGCAGATTCCCATCTACAATGTCAACAACAACTGTTCCACGGGGTCTACAGGTTTGGCTATGGCCCGAACGCTGGTCTCTCACGGGGCCGCAGACTGCATCCTGGTTGTTGGCTTTGAGAAGATGAGCCCCGGTAGTCTCCAGTCGGTCTACAGCGATCGCGCGAACCCGACCGGCCTGTTCGGTAAAATGATGGCTGAGACTAGAGGAGTCACGAATGCACCAGGTGCAGCACAGATGTTCGGCAACGCTGGTCGCGAGTATATGGAGAAGTAAGTGTGTGGTCTGGAACCGATCGCTGCTAACTAGAAAGGAATGAACTAAATCGTCACATGCAGGTATGGTGCTGAAGCCGAAGACTTTGCCAACATCGCGCGGATCAACCACGAGCATTCTAAGCGCAACCCGTACTCCCAATTTCAGGACGAATATACTCTTGACCAGATTCTCAAGTCGCCGATGATCCACGCACCTCTGACGAAGCTGCAGTGCTGTCCAACATCCGATGGCGCGGCCGCTGCTGTGGTCGTCTCCCAAGCCTTCCTTGAGGCGCGTCCCCACCTGAAAGACCAAGCAATCCTGATTGCGGGCCAGACGCTCGCCACTGATCACAGCTCCGTGTATGATCGCAGCTCTATTGATTTGATGGGATTCGGAATGGCCCGCAATGCGTGCCGAGCTGCAGCAGCTGAAGCGGGAGTGAACGTTAAGGATATCAAGGTGTGCGAGCTACACGACTGCTTTTCTGCCAACGAGATGATCACCATCGATGCACTAGAGCTGTGTGAGCCGGGAAAGGCGCACGAAATGGTGCGACAAGGCGACATCACCTATGGTGGAAAGATGGTCATTAACCCTTCTGGAGGTCTTATCTCCAAGGGTCATCCATTGGGGGCAACGGGCTTGGCGCAATGTGCAGAGCTGGTTTGGCACCTGCGTGGCTGGGCCAACAATCGCTTAGTTGACGGCACAGATGCCGCCCTTCAGCACAACCTGGGGTTGGGAGGTGCCGTCGTGGTCACCGTATACAAGCGAGCAGATGGCAAGGCCGCAACACCAGTACCATCGGAGACAGTGGCAAAGATCACGGGGCTTGGGTACAACCCGGCTGTTGAGGCCAAGGGCTTCACTGCAGAGCAAGCTCGATTAGTCCAAAGTCGGAACCATAGTGACAAGTGGGCGTTGGCCGACACGCAGGACCGGGTGCTGGCGCGGTTCTAGCTCGAAGGATGTGTACAGGGCAATTCTGGGCACCAGGGGTTGGATTATAGCATTACAGATATGTAGTACACTACAAGCTGTAAAGCTGAGTCATTGGACTAATGATATCGACTGATGCACTTTCTCAAGCTACTCTGAAGTCTCAAGTTCATGCATGCCCTTGGGTGTAACCGATCCAAGCTGCTGGGCGATCATCCTCTCGGCAGCACGTTGCGCCGCGCGCGCGCGCGTAGCTGACATAAGCGGGTGTGGTCCACCGCGCTGTTTAAATTTTCGCACATCTTCACAGTTCAACCTTTTTCCTTCTTCTTTTATCATACCAGGTCTCCAACATACCCTTGCGGATAGATGCCCAAAGGGCACGTTCTGTTTGCAAATTTTAGCTTCGAGACCGAGAGCGAACTTTTCGCATGCTCGTTCTAATCCCATCACGTGGCGCAGGGTTGGTCTAACCATCTCATCACGCTGTAGATGGGTTCGCTTTTGAGCACACATCCCTTGTTTGAAAAACCCGTTACATCGTTTCCATGCCTTCGCATATCCAACAATTCTCATTTCTCATAGAGTTGGATGTTGCAACAAGTCTTGCGTGGTATGAGAGCTTGAAACTAGCTCGGATCCTGAAAAAAGATGATTTTCCTCGATTCGCCTTTGTCAAGCCATGCTCTCTTGCTCAACCTTTCTTCTCAACTTTCGTTCTGTGCGCACTAACCTACAGGATATATCGACACGTAGCCTAGACTGCAAAAGGCACTTTCGAAGTCTCGTCCGTCATACTCTCCATGATATTCGAGGTCAAATTTGTGCCAAAATTGAACCCCCTGGACTCAATTGTCCAATTTCATTTCTCCCTCGTGTTGCGTCCGCTGTCAATCTGAGATGGGGCGGTACGTGTCAAAGCAGGGAGGTACATTCAAACCCGTAGAATTATTACAAGCGCTTCTGTTCCGTTGGCTCGCGCTGGCGGAATGCAAGCTTGTAGAACAGTCAACATAGACTTGAACTCGGCTAGCCATCCCTGACGGAGGGAAGAGATGGTGCGGTGCGCCAACCGTTATCAGGTATGCGCTACGGCGCGAGTCAGCAACCGGGCCATCCTTGTGGAACAAAACCATCCCTTAAGATTCGATCGAAGGAGGTTGTTATGTTGTGTAATTCCTAGGGCAATCATGGTCAGGATCAGTATCCCGCTTGGAATGTACAGTATGTACTCAATTGAATGATAATAAGCTTCGCAGGGCGCGGTGCCTGGCTGAACCAAGGCTGCAGGAGGCTGCGGTGGCGTGGATCAATGGTAACTTACTGAGGGTGTGCCCGCCCCTTGCATTCCTGCAATCAAGGTACAGAACCATGACTGGCTTGTCGCGAGGTGCTGGTGCATTGTCGCACGGGGAGGGAGGGGCGTCGAGACTTGAGAGAGTGACAATAGAAACTCGGATCTTCAATTCCAATGCTTCGAGGAGGCGCGAGTGGCCGCACTCCCTATGATCGCCCTCACTCCTAGCTGGAAGGCCCTGGCAAGATGCCAGTTATAAAGCTTGAATTCATCTCTCCTCCCTATAGAAAACCAGGCAAGTGTTCGGATTCAGTTTTACAGTCATTGATCGGAGGTCTTTCTCTCTTTCTTTCCTTTCCAATTCATTGTTTGTCAACCTTGGCTATAGATTGCCTCGTCTAGTACGCCTGTCCACTCTTTAACTTTCACCCACCAAATATTTTCTTATCTTAGCAAATCGCAATGGCCCGCTTCAGCATCTCCGTCCTTGTGCTCTGCCTTTTCATGGCCTTGATGGCGTCTGCCATGCCTGTCAAGCGCGACGATGTTGCCAATGAAAGCGACTACGCTATGCAGGGGATCGAGGTAAAGCTCCAGCCCTAGATTTGGCTTCGACGGCGTATGCTAATATCTGACTCAAGTCCGCCGCCAAGATGATGGAGGAGATGATTGAGAAATACAAGGAAGCCCAGGAGGCGAACGACAACTCCAACGATGCCTCTTCCGAAACCTCCGAGAACCAGAACGCCCCGATGGAGGATGCGAACACGAGCCCTTCTTCCACTACTCCCACTGAGGCGACTCCTGCTGCCAGCGCTGCCGCCCAGTCTCCCAAGCCTAGCAAGACTCACATCGTGAACGACAACCCTTTTGCGAATTTACCCCTTGTCGGCGGTCTGCTGAGCGGTGGTGGTCTCGGTCTGTGATGCCCCGAGGGTGCTCGCCCGGTGCCGGCATAGGCAATTACCGGGAAACCCAAGTTCTGGCGCCAAAATCTTTGTTACGGTGCTATGTATGAGGCATGATGATTGTGAATCTTCCCACCTTAGTTTAGGGTTTGCTTGGTGGAGCTCGTTTAGTCGCGCGAGTTGGTATCCATAGAATACTCGATAGGATAGTTAGTCCGCAAAAAGAAATAAGCATTCAGTGCTATGAGACGAAAGTGTCGGCTATGCAGAAATACTCCGTGCAAGTCAATAGGCAAACATTCTCTCATGGGCGATTTCCGTGACTGCAACCCATGCATGGGCAGCATGATAGCTCTGGGTATATAGTAGTGAAATGGTTCGCCATGCAGTAAAGCCACAGTTTGTTCAGGGACCTTGATTTTGATTTGCTCGCTGCTGCCCTTCATAGAGACCGGTATAGTATCCTGCATAATACCAGGCCATCATGAGATTCTTCAAGCCTTCATCTTGCACTACTCGCCGGCGTCAGTATCTTGCTACCGGCCCTAATTTGATTACCACAAGAGCCTTACCTTGTGCTAAAGCGGCATGAGGCGGAGGCACCGCTCCTGCAGGAGTGAAGCCTTGGCCACTGGGCGCAATTGTTGGATCTGCAGCCGCGGATGTCTGCCCTGTTGTCTGAAAGAAATGAGCATATGCAGCCCAGAAGATGGGGATTAGACTTACCTTCGAGGTCCGAAGAGTAGGGGCCTGTTGAGAACCGACAGTGACTTTTGCTTCAGCAGGAGTTGCATCAACTACAGACGGCGGTTCGGCGTCATGATCCATGCTATCAACCGCTTCATCCGATTCTTGCGCCGGTAAGACATCCTGAGAGCCCGCTTCAGCCTCTGCCTCTCTCAGTACATCATCTACATTCTCTCCTCTTGCCTGGATGCTGTGATAGAGCTGTCGTGGTCTTCGTTAGCATTTGGATCACGTGCCCCAACAGAGGAGCTCATACTTTGTATTCCTCGACAGCTTCATCCCAACTCTGGACCAGCGCAGAATCATCCCAGATCTCTTCTTGTGTCAGTGGCCGATTGGCATTCCTAGACTTTCCCATGGCATCGAATAAGAGGCAGCAAAGAGAGGGGACAAATGAGGATAAGATGGCCGACTGCCTACAGATAGACTGACTGGAGTAGTCAGCGGCAGCCACGCCGAGTGAAATTGACTGATGGTCGGCCGGCCGGGCTCGAACTCACCGCTTGGCGGCGGAAAAATTGCGAGCAGAAAAAAAGTTTCCCGCACCTTTTCGCAAAGCCCGCCGACTGTAGCGCTTCAAACACCAGCCTACATTTCTACGCCAGATCGCAACAGGATGGCTCCGGACAAGAAAGACAAGAAGCGCAAGGGTATGTAAACTTTCTCTTCCCTACTTGTTGCGCCAATTGATCCCCTGCGACTGACCACTGACAGCTGCCAACGCCGTTGCCGCCGACTTGCCCGCAAAGAAGACCAAGAAGGTCGACGCCAAATCTGCTCAACCTTCTAAGGAAGCTCCCAAGCCGGCTCTCAAGAAGACCAAGAAGACCGAGGCCCCTGTCAAGGCCGAATCTTCCTCGAAACTGAAGGTCAACGGCGAGCCAGCTAGACAGGTCAAGCCCCGTAAGCGTGCCGCCGACTTCCTCAGTGACAACGAGGAGAGTGAGCCAGAGGCAAAGACTACCGAGGTCAAGGCTAGCAAGGAGAAGCCCAGCACCAAGAAGTCAAAGAAGTCAGATGGGACCGCCGCCGCTGCCACGAAAGGAAAAGCCGCCAAAGCGAACACCAAACCCAAGAAGGTCGAGCCTGTTGTGGAAGAAGATTCTGAGGATGAGGATGAGTCTGCCGCCTCGGATGCAAGCCAGAGTGAGGGTGAGGAGGATGACCGCACAACTGCTCTGATCCGCGGCTTTGAGAGCAGCGGTGACGAGGCTGACTCCGACGACGAGGGCTTCGACCCGACTAAACCCCTGCCCAAGATCCCCGACTTGAAGAAGGCGCAGCGCAAGGTGAGGAAGCAGCAAGAGAATGCCGGCCAGTCAGAGGGGCCTGGTACGATCTATGTTGGGTGAGTGCTACTGCTACTTATTGTCATCGCACGTCTAACCGCCTTATTCTTAGACGTATTCCCCACGGTTTCTACGAACACCAGATGCGGGACTACTTCAACCAGTTCGGTACTGTCACCCGCCTGCGTCTTTCCCGTAATCGTACCACCGGTCGCTCTAAGCATTACGCTTTCATCGAGTTCGATTCGGAATCCGATGCTAAGGTCGCTGCGGCTACCATGGACAACTACCTCCTGTACAAACACCTCCTGAAATGTAAATTTGTCCCACAGGAGCGTCTGCACCCTGAGATCTGGAAGGGCGCCAACAGACGATTCAAGCGAACCCCGTGGAACAAGATCGAGAAGAGGCGACTTGAGCAGGGCAAGACGAGAGAGCAGTGGTCGGATCGCATTGAAAAGGAGCAGCAAAAACGGGCGGCCAAGGCAGAGCAGCTGAAGAGCATTTTGGGATACGATCTGGAGCTTCCTCAACTGAAGAGCGTGGACGAAGTTCCTGTGCAAGAGCGCAAGGCTATCGAGGCCGACGAGCTAACAGCCGAGGAACCTGCCAAGGCTATTGAGGCTCCTAAAACCGAGGAGGTCGAAGCAGTGAAGGCCGTTGAAGATACCCCTAAGAAGATCAACAAGAAGGAGAAGAAGGCAGCTCAGTCCCCTGCTGTGCAAGAGACCGCCAAGCCATCGACGAAGAAGAGTGAAGCCGCAGCCTCACCCGCCACTAAGAAAGCTAAGAAGACTGGCAAGAAGGTCAAGGCCAAGGCTACAGCTTGATTCTTCGATTCTATCTAAAATGTCATTGTCCTGTTGTTCATCGCATAAAAGATCGCTCGGAGTTGATTGATTTCAATTGTACATGGTTATTGTATTATTCGCTAGGCATGAATAGAGGAATATCCGTATAAGTTTACTTCATCTCCATGCAAGTCACAGGTGCCTGTCTCAGCATGCAATATAAAGTCAGAAGTATTACAAAGGTCTCAAGCCAGCAGTTTGAAACCGGTCTTGTAATTCGCAGGTCTCACCTCCGACCAGTTGGCCGCCTGAGGCCACCAGGTCCCACCACAGTCACATGATTCAAGCTAGGCTGCAACCAGTCTAGCTGGGTCCACTGACTAACCTCGCATAAATTTGCAGCTACGACATTTCTGCCGTTCGATTTTCTTTTCTCTCTTTCTTTCTTCCAACTCCTCGCTCAAAGAATCGCATTCGAAGCTCACACACGGAGAAATCCCCGAGGGGAATCTCTCAACCAGCTTTTGGGAAAGTCCCCGGACACCCTGACTGTTTAAATCGTCCCTTGTGGGCCCAGTCAGGCAATGCGGAAACGCGCCGCCATAGAAGCAATTCGATAGCGGCTTATTGCCCTGTTTCCTCCCAGTGCTCGCATTCGTATCCGACGTCGGAAGAGGTCCTACTCTCTCTCGGTGGAAACAATGGCGGTACGGGCTTGTGCTGGAGAGGGGCTTTGATCTGGGTTGCCTTTCGTCGTGTTTGGATAGTCATGCGATTGCTCACGGCCGAACTCCTTTGGGGCTTGGCGGTGGGTAACTCAATGGGGCTCATTCTTGAGGCGAGGAGTGCATCTATACTTTTTTTTCCCTTCAACGAGTCTGTAGCTTATGGAAAGCGGTGATTAAGCAGGATCACAGATGCTCTGTCGAAGGAGTCGGACTCTTGCACATTTTTCATTTTTTTTTTGTTCGTGTGATGATATACCAATCATAGAGTCAAGCCCTGAGATTCCGTACTACGGTATAGGAGTTATTGACGATAAACGATTGTTTTCATATCTGATGAACGTTTGATATTATTCTCGCGTCACCTAGTCAGTCCATTTTGGATCTTTACTTTTACTACAATAATAACAGAATATCATACACTCGAATCCGAGTTCAATATTTGCCAAATGAGAGAAATAATGAGATCCATTATCATCACCGTCATTCTATTTTATACAATTGTCCTTTTTGCTCATCCAGTAGTCTCGCTTAAAACAACCCCTTTCTCCCCCTTCGTCTTCGTGTCCTTCATTGCCCTTTCTTCTCCTCGGTACTAGCACCAGCAGGAACAGGCTCCGCCGCTCCGTTATCCGTTTGCAACAGCAATGCCGTAACAATCTCGGCCAGAGTGGTGATCGCCGTGGCACAAACATTACTCCAAACCTGGATGCTCACGGACCCGAAAGGCGCGCGGGGGAACGACAGAATCCAGGCCACGTAGTACGGGACCCAACCCTCCGGCAGCATGAAGACGGGCGTTTTCGAGTACCAGAATTGCAGGAAGAACTTGAGGCCACTTGTACCGACCCAGCGGACGGCTTTCACGCCCCAATCGAAAGATGATTTCTGCGACGCGAGCTCCTTATCTGAATTGTTTGGTAAAGTCATAAATGTGTCAGCTTAAGGGCTTCACAAATACCTTGCGTGGGTGCGTGGGTGCGTGCATCACTCCCCTCCACGGCTCTGTTACGACGCTGCAGAAGAAGAAGAAGAAGAAGAAGAAGAAGAAGAAGAAGAAGAAGAAGAAGAAGAAAATGGTAGGCAGTCCAAAAACAAAGGAGGATTTTGCTCGGAGAACGTACTCATGGCTTCATATTCCTCCATCGTTTTGTCGTGTCGTCTTCGCAGCTTGGCCCATTTCGCAAACTCGTCTTGCGAGCTGGTGTTGTTCATGTCCCGTTTCAGTTGAACAACTTCGCGCTTCAGACGGTTCTGCTCGCGGAACTTCCTGGATGTTGGGGTCGGGAGTCTCAGGTAGAGAAGCCATAACTAGACGTAATCATATCATTTCAGGACTTATGTTCCCGTATAGGTGGATCGTGATCAAGGGAACCAATTGATTGAGGGTAATTCCCGGGGTCAACGTACTAGGTTGTCAATCGTGGCCGCACCGACGGTGTTCACAAGGTAGATGGCAATGTGAACGAAAAGCACAATCCCCACAAGAGGCAACATGATGGATCGGGTGCTATGGTTGTTGACAATGGAGGAGGGGGGAAGTCTCGGTGGAAAATGGACAGCAAGCCCGCAAAACTGCGACCGTGTTGAGTGCGCGTATGCAATGCGGCGCAGATTTCCAACCGGATCCGGGTCGTAAATGATAAGTCAGAGAGATGTAGCCAAAAGGTCCAGAGACACACGGAAGCAGATCGAGAACAAAAGTTGACCCTCAAGCTTGCGGAAGGGAAATCGGAATGACGTTGTCACGTTTCTAAACCCGCCCGTCGGCTGCGGCGTTTCTTCAGTCTCCGGGCCATACACATCGACTCTGCAATCACCCAACTAACTAGGTAGACTACCTACCTAGTACTTTCTGCTCCATACCGACTGGTGGAAGACTACGGGCTTTCTCTTTCTTTTGATGGCCGCTATGCAGCAGGCTGGATGATGCCCAATGTCCTCTCCTTCAAATCATGAAGCCGCATTTCATGACCTCGCCCAGATCCTTTCAGCTAGATACCAAAACAACGAGGTTCTCGAGATCGAGATACTTCCTCCTGGTCTAGGTCCCCTCCTACAGGATGGTACCTCGGTTGGCGTCACCAAGAAGTACTTAGCCCAGGCTTTCGTCACAGCAAGACGCAATTTCTTCGGCGCTTTGAACGGGAAATCCCTCGATGGGCCTGGACATGACAACATTCCCTCCCAACCTGGGCACTGGAATTCCCCTTCGGATGAACTCCTCCTTGTGTCCACGGAGATCATTCTCCTCTTTGACTGCGAGCATTTGACGGCATGCAATTGGCGCAGGAGACACTTGGCTGCTTCTCTTCAGCGCCACGATTTCGCTGATTATGATAATGAGCGTCTTCGGTCGCTCATCGATGCTTTGAGCAAGGAACTCTCGTTGACCAAGACATTTCTCTGTTCTCCATTGCAACGACATACCAAATCCCCGACATTGTGGAATTATCGCTCATGGCTCCTGACTCGCTTGATGCGCCTTCAACAGCGGCCCTTGGAGCAGCTGGATGAGCTCTCGCACGAAGTGATCCTAGGGATTTTGAATGACGAACTGGCCATAGTCCTTCGGGCTGGAGAACTCCACCCTCGGAATTACTACGCCTTTACTTATCTAAGGGAGGTCGTTGGTGCCGCTTCGGGCATAGGTGATGGTGGTCAAGATGCCTCTACGCTACTGGCTGAATCTATGATACAGAAAGCCCTGCAGTGGTGTATAGCCCACCCTGCCGACATATCTGGATGGGCGTTTACTGAGTTCTTACTCGAAAGAATCCCCCAATATGAGATCCGCAGTGATGCGGTGCGTCAGGTGATACAGTTCGCCCTGGATATCGGTTGGGAGGGCGAGAGTCTGTGGATATTTGTGTACTCAGCGTCAATCAATCTAGATGTCGATTGTTTGACTGAAGATGGGCAATGGGCGTCCCAGTGGGATGCGTTGCCGGAACATCCGCTACCAAGGACAAGGTCGAAGGGTGGTTGGAAGGTCTGGCTGGATTGGGCCAGGGCTGTCTGGACTGCTGGCCCGGCGGTCAATTAGGACAATAGTCAGCCTTTCAGATAGAGAGGCGCAGGGTCATAGGCTCCAACAAAGGGTCGTGCGTGCTCTTGGACATGGAGTATGCGTACCTCGTCGCATCATACACCTACACATGTGAACCATGAGGATGTTGCATGACTTGTGCGGTAGCCTCTTGAAAACGCTAAATGTGATCAACTTAAATGATATCCTCGCTAGCTATCATGTTCTCATAACATGCTTCCAATCGAATACTGTTGTCTCCATCACGTTGAAAAAGCCCGAGGCCGTGCGAAATAGTCGCAGGCGATCTATCATAGCCCGTGCGCCTCACAGGCAGACCAACTCATGAATTGTGCACGGACCCGAAGAGCTATAGCCAAAACAGGGGTGTCAAAAAGCATGATCTGGGAAGGATATATAGAGAGGTACTCGGTGCCCGGACTGCGAGGCGACGAAGTGGCGGACAGGCTGGGAGGACAAAACCGGGAGAGTTCTATCGAGGAGAATGGGGAAAGTGTTATTTTTTCTTCGCCGCTGCAAGTGCTTCGGCTGCTCGGCGCTCATCGGCTGTAAAAGGAAGTAGAAAGCGTCAGTGGGATCGAGTGCAAAGGATCTGGAGGCCGACATTTTCTGTCAGGGGTCGGTTAGAATCTTACCTGCTTTCTGCTTGGCCTGCATTTTGGCAGCATCGCTCTCCTTCTTCCGCTGGAACTCCGTACCAGTAAGCTCGTTCTTGGATTTCTAGAAAGAAACATTGTTAGTTTAAGAGACGATACACTCATTCAGTGGAAAGAAGCACCTTCTTGGACTGCTCCTTGTTGTTCTTTGCGCGATCGCGATCTCTCTGGTTGCCACGAGTCATGGTGATGTTATTGATCGGATGAATTCAAGCCGTGTATCACTTTGAAAGAAAGAAAAGAGAAGGAAAGAAAGAAAAGTGCAGCGGGCTGCCAACAGTACGGTTCTGTTGGTTGGGGTGTCGAAGAAATAGGAGGGTGGCTTTGCCTTGTGGAAGGAAAAGTTTTCCTCTTTTTTAAAAGTTGTATGGAAGGTTCTCTTTCTCTCTCTCTCTCTCTCTCTCTCTGCCACTTCACGCCCCTCGGTTTACGGAGTTGCTGCCGCCTGCCGGCCGAGCCTCCGCCCCAGTCTTCTTCCCCGGCCTTTTCAGTCCAAGAGTGTTCTATTTCGATCTGACTGATCACCATGTCTTTGCCTGGGAAGGACTTGGTGGGTACCTCTGATTACTTCCACCAGATCATCACTTCCGTTCTCTCATATACCTTTCTGGTGTGTATCTGTACATAAAATATGACAGATGGCTTGAGCACTGCTCATTGGCGGTCAGACTCGAAGAAGCATGAAAGCTGCAACTACCCATTAATACATCAACCCACTTTGATCATTCATCACACGTGCATAGTAGTGCTCAATTCTATAATAGGAGGGAATCAGTCAGGCCCCCGGAGGGTCTTATTAACAGTTTAACAAGTTTCTGCAGGGTGGGCGCTTAATTCATCAACCCATTCATTGGCTTATACATAGCTCGTTTCAAGACCTCGAGAGCGCCATCCTACCTGACTGACCATCCAATCCTCCACCGATTAGAAGCGCCATCCTCAACCACGGGGCTGTCTACAGCCGCACATAACAACATGAAAGCTTTCTTCTCATTCCATATCAGCACCATAAGCGCTGGGGGTCGGACTCCTTTGGACGCTCAAAGCCGCACAAGGAAGGCCCCTCCTCCACGATGAGCGTGAACAGATCTAATTCATTCAGTTAGGCGCTAATTCTTACCCAAACAAGCAAGAAGAAATCCAAATGATTGAGACGAGTGGCTCTGATCTTTCCAAAGGCTTTGTGAGAGTGTTTCAGGGTTCCCCGTCCTTCGCCCATTGTGTCTATTATCGTTTTTGTTGCCATCCTTATGGAAGCCTCATTCAATGGTTGCCCTATACCTGCCTGTCTCAGGGCTGAGCTACCCATAACACCAAGCAGTCACTACCGACACCGTCAGATCTCCAGCCAGAGACTCCTGGCTCTCTTTAACACCCTCGTCGACCTCGTGGTCCTCTCTTTCTTCCAACTGATTCCCATCAGATAATCTCCGGCTGCGGGCCCAGTCTTTGTTTTCCTTTCTTCCCTTGACCTGGCTTTCTCGTTCAAGTATCTTTTCTTCTTGGTGGTTCCAGTTTCGCTTTTGAAGAAGACTATAACACCCATACATAATTCATATACACTTGGCTGGCACAGACTTGATCAAGCTTCTCGGCTAGAGCCTGAGAGTTATCTTCTTTTCTTAACCTTTGACCAAAACATGATGGCCTCACTGCAAGAATCCTTGGCGGGTCCAGGATATGTGATTCTCAATGCCATTCGCGTCATCAATATAATCGTCTTTCTTGACATCACCGCTGCTAGTGCGGTGATGTTGGTGAAGATCTCGCTGTTGACCAGCTTTTTCTTCTTCGAGGCAGTCTCTCGTGTGGCTACGGCCGGAGTCAGCAGTAAGTACTTGGTCTCGATTCTATTCCCGTTATTAATTGTTTTTGAGCGAAAAGTTGCTGATTTGCACGGTAACCAGTCTTCCTCATCATTTCCGAGCTCCCCATCTTGCGCGGCTACTTTGACCGCAATTGGCCTTTACTAGGGCAGGAGTCGGGCTTCATTACCTTGGCAATCGCGATGCTGGTACTGGGAGTGGGTGTGTTGGGCGACCTCAACACGAAGGCGACAAGCCAGGAGTCACTGGGCATGCCGTTTTGGCGCCTCGTCCTCTCCGCTGGTATATTATCCATGATCATGAGCGTGGTCAACGTGGCTGCGGTAAGCCGACTCCTGCAACCCTGAGTCTGACATAGCTGCTAACAATTCCAACTTTAATAGAGCTTCGTGTTCTCTGACCGTGACATCGGAGTCAGTGCACGACATGTCCGCCTCTATGGAGCAGTGGCGCCCCAGAAAGTGGTATCGCGAGCTGGAAGCCAACGGTCATTCCAGCTGAGCATGAAGCGGGAGGAATCTTTGCCAACATACAGCCCGCAGAGCTCGGTGCGGAGACACATGTCTCAGCGGAACAGCACTCGCTTTCCACTCAAGATTTCCTCACCACTTAATCCGATGAATCTCAGCGACGCGGCATCGTCCAAATACTCGCGAGACTCGGCTGGAGTCACAATCCCAGACCTTTCGCATCATCCAGCAATGCAAGGGGGACGCATATAGCACACTACATCAGCTACTAGGTAGGATAACTTGTTGGCAGTAGGAGATCGGTACTTTCTGTTGAGCGGAGCATACACAATGGCGTTGGTACATGTAGCGGCTAAGAGATATCCAATTCCACTTCATTTTTTTTCTTCTTTTTAGAACCTCAAAGACTTATGTATGCAATATCGAGGTAGGAAGCCATTATTCATCGCCCGTAAGTATAACACTCAAATATACTCCGTACCGATCCATGATAGCAAGTAAACTTCGCAGCCCTGCCAATGTTTATTATTCCGCTCTATAGTTAGCGGTCCCTCTTGATTGGCGGATCGCAGGCACTACCGCTTGGCGCCGGCGGGCGATCTGATCGCCTCCAGCCAGGCACTTTAAGGCCACCTGGAACACTGCACTGCATCGCATCTGCTTTTTCTTTAAAAAAAAAAGAGAGCAAGTGGTTGTCCGCTCGATGCGACAACAACTCCCCTTTGACCACACAAGACGTTGACAGGATGGTTGAACTCGGGATCTCGTTTGCAACGTATGTATCACTTCCTCCCCTTTCATATTGTGAAACAATCCAGTAACTCGAATTCCGGCTACAACAGCATCAAGTCATTCCTCATTTTCTTTGCGCCCATCATAATACCGCGAGCCATCAACCTGTACCGCAGCCTGCGCGTGTCGATAGCGACAAGGCCCCCTCCTCGCCCCGTGCCGCACGATGCCGCGCGCGCTCTGAACCTCCTCTTCTTCGCTATCACCTTCTTCCTCCTGCTCAGCCTCCCCTTCAGCCCGCGGGCCCCGCCGCAGAGCATCTTCACGCTCACGCACTCGCGCATCAACACCGCCAGCGACGTGCTGTTCGCGCGGCTGGCCCGCCTGCGGCCCGCCAACACCCTGTCCGCGACCGACCTCCTCCTAAAAGCAAAGCTCACCTCGCTGCCGGCGCGCAAGCTCTACCTCCGCTTCGGCCCGGACGCCCTGGTCCGCTGCCAGTTCTGCTCGCTCGACCACCCGACCACCTACATCCTCTACTACCTGCCGTGGCACGTGCTGCTCCCGCATCTGGGCCACATGGCCCTCATGGGCGCCGTCACCGCCCGGCCCCTCACGGGCCCGGACGCCAGCCGATGGCGCAACAAGTTCACGCTCGCCGGCTGCGCCCTGGCTCTGCTGGACCTGTACCTGGCCTTCGGCTACGATCCCGTGCAGACGGGGCCTGCCGCCGTGCGCGCCGGGTCCGTCACCGTCCCCCCCGCCGCGTATTACCAGCTGGGTCTGCTGCGGCCGCTGGCCCTCGCCGTCGTGGATGGGATCGCCGCCCTGTTGATCTACCTCTCCGCCACCCGCCGGTTCTTCTACGCGCCGCCGTCCCAGGCCGAGCAGGTCGGCCAGCTCGTGTCGACGGCGCTGTCCGCGCTCGGCGGTGCCACCTCCAAGCTGCACGCCCTGAGCGTCACCCGCAACACGGTGGTGCGCGACAGGGTGCTCAAGGATCGCGATGATGCCTACTGGCGGACGGTGGTGGCGCTGGATGTGGACAACCCGGCGGCGCTCCGGGAGGGGGGCCGGCAGGTGGTGAGGGAAGATGGGCCGGGCGTGCCGGCTGCCTCGTCGGCGGCACCAGCGTCGATCTGGGAGGAAGAGGAAGTGGTCCGTGCCATGTCGCGCGCCATGGCTGGGCAGGGCGGGGTGGACCTGGCCAAGTTGGGGATGGACGCTGCAGATTATGTAAATACCATCACCAAGGGGCTGGATGGTGCGGGTCAGTAGAGGGGAACTGGGTTGCCTTGATAGGAATTCTTGTGCGTGGTCAAATATGGACAAGTTAGTTCGCCAGAGTTTTTTATGCTCTTTGTTATATTAGATATATTAATATGTTCCTCATCATGAATTCATCCCCGTCAGGTGATTCATCTCTCTGGACTGATTCTGTCATATTCACCTCATGCTAAAAAAGAAAAAAGAAAAAACCCAGATACTACCGTCCAATTGGCATATCATGACGATGCAGATCTCTTGACCACTCCGGCGCAATCTTATCCCGTTCGTACAGCAACCCACAATTGTGACAGAGTGTCTAGTAATCGATGCAGGTCAGCTGGGGTGCGCAATCAGAGTCAATAGAGTAGATGCATCTGGCTTACCCTTGGGCCCGTCGGTCCGTCTCGTACAGCCCAGACTGCCGTACCCCATACCAAGCAATTCGTGCACCGCCAATTTTGTCGCTCCCTGCCGATTGGGTGTTAGTGATATGACAACCACAATGGTATCGCAGATGATGAGGATGAGAGAGACGGCAGACCATTCCGAAAGTGTTCCACCACCTCCACCGTAACCTGCACCGGACCCGGTATCGGGTGTGCCTCGACCTCCGGGCGTTCCGCCCCTACCAGCCGGGCTCAGACTCCGGAACCGCCTCTTGCGCTTGCTCCTCTCGCCTCTGCCCAAGGGAGTTTCACTGTCGACATCGAAATAGCCACTTCCTTGTCGAGAAGCCTCTGGGGTGATGCCAGCCGTTGAAGAGAATCTGGCAGTCTCTCGCCGAAGACGTCTTATTTGCCGCTCACGGTCACCCTCGCGCTTCTCAATCTCCTCCTTGGACAGTGTTTCGACCTTAGGTTCCCAATCATCACCCAGTCCTTCAGGGTCATATCGCCAGCCCGCCTCGGCCCCATTAGCCGCTTGGTTGTCAATCTCGTTTCCGTAGCCACCCATGCTACTGATCAGCCCGCCACTTTCACACACTTCTTTCTTCAGCTTGAGTACTGCCTCGTAAATGCCGTGGGCAATGGTTCCGACCCATTCTCCACCGAGGCCTAGATCCGCGCAGGTGATCCGAGCGAATTCCTCCGCCATGCCGGGAGGATGCAGGAGTGACCATTCGAATTTGTCGGTGTACAGTTTATTCTGCAAGTTGATGTTCAGATTGATCATGCATCTGTATGCGTCGTCGGGATTCAATAAACTGTCATTGATCAATGGTTCCTTCGTCACCGTCACCTGGTTGGCTCTGCTGTCGGGGGTAGCGGCGTAGGTTAGAGTGGGTGTAGTAGACACGTCCCTTGACATGGCCGACGGCAAAGCAGCTGGTTTGCTTGGTACGCTCTGGAACAAGGGATGTAGGGCAACGCCGGCGTATTCTTCCAATTGTTGGCGTATTTGGTTGCTGATGGCCATCGTCATCGCCTGTGGGTTGGGTAAGTCCATGTCGCGAACAAATCCGATTGCGAATTCTTCGGGGGTAGCGAGAGCTTCATGGAGGTTCCAAAGAAAAGTATCCTTGATTCGGTAGGCTGGTAATGGGTCCTGCTTTCTATATGCAGGCAGTGTGGTTGTGATTCCAGGATCGAGCATGGTTCGCGGCTGGGGAAACGCTTCGAGAGGTTGATGCGCTGGGACCTCCAAGTCAATTCGAATGGGTATAAGGGTGAGAGGTAGTTGCGCCTGGATCTGTAATTGATCGGCACAGCTGGACGAGCCGCAAAGGGAACCGTAGAGTTAGCGCTCGCAAAGAAACATATCTTCACAAATCAAACAACGGGGCCAGCTGGGTAACGGAAATGTTTGAGCTTTGGACATACGCTGGTCGCAACATTCGCTTGATCATCCAGTCACGGAATACCCCTTGAACCTCCACAGGAGCATGTACCTCTTTCCCCAGTTTTTCCGCCAAAGGGACCTTGTCGAAAGTTGAATCCTCTCGTCGGAGACTCCGTAGCCCCGTCGGACGCCGAGGACCTTCACTGTCTTCAAAGTCCTCATCATCAAAGCCGTCTTCTGCATAGTTGATGGCCGCAGTTCCTCGCTTGGTTCGCGGCGCCGGACCGGCCTGGCTCGGGGCGATTACGGGAGCAAGTAAGGCGTTTCCATATTGGCGTAGACGCGGAGGGTAAGATGTGATATAGCCTCTGAGAGGGGACATGTTGGCCATATAGCTGGTCAAAGACATGTCCCTTTCAGACACTGCAGAAGTCGACTGGCGAACAGATTCACCAATGTTTGAACGCGATGAAGGGAATAAGCAACTGCTACTGACAACAGTAGAAAATCGTGGATATGGTAAGAAGACCAAGGATCGCAAGTAGAGAGGAATGCGCACCAGCAAGTCGGTTTGCGCGACAAAGTGAACGGAGTGAAATCGTTAGAAATGGAATGATGCTAAAGGGCCTCTAGACGGTGATCGCGGTCGACCTCCGCCATTTCTGGTCGTCGCGCTTTGCCGGCAGAGATTCCAGGCCGGCGCTAGTCCTTTTCTAGTCAACAACATGCACGTGATGGTACGTGATGGTACGTGGGGATACTCAGCAATGATAGGATAGTTCCATCAGTGACGATAGCAGGTCTGCTTGCGCTGACACTAAATAAAGTAGAATGAAGAACTCTATGTTATCAGGTTTTAAGTACGTATGAGTTTGGGGCTGTAATCCGTAATGGCCCTGAAGCTCCTTGTAAAAGCCGACATCTTCAGGCTACCTTGATGAGAATCATTACAGAGGTCTTACAATTAATGCTAAAAACCTACATAAGAAGCGACGGCCCATTTCCCTTGCGTACCATGCGGTAGTTGAGAAGACTCAAGATTTCGCGGGAAGTCGCCAACTTCACGCCACAAGATCTAACATGCACCAACGACGTGGGGAGACAGATGCGATTTACGGCTAAGGACAATCGATATAGATGTTTGGGGAAGTATGATAAACAAGAAGGAGAAAAATTACTGCCTCTGGCTACCGGAGCCCAATCACGCTCTGCAACATCGTCAGCGAAGCTCCTGTAGATCCGGAATTTTGCGGGAAAGTCTTACCATTTCCAGAGTCCATACTCGCCGAATCCAGATTTTAACCTTGCCGTCTACCCCTTCGACATCATGTAGCTCAACGCCTTCCCACCAACATCTCCTTGCTGGTTTCCGCCAAAAGAGAAGGAGCTTTTGAGCCATTCCCACTGCGTTGTTATTCTCCAGATCACTTCGAATGTCAGTTCGGAGCTTGGCTAATGCCAAGCTACAAATGACTGCTTTATTAGGCTCCGGGGCACGGTGGCCCCATCGATCATCACGATCGAACCCGCTAGATATCATTAGCATACACTGAGTTCCTTGGGCATAAAACATATGTGGAGAGCTTACCCTGCAGTGAGCATCTCGATCAGATGCTGTTCTGTTGAACCTGCTTCGTCGCTTTTCCTCAAACCAGAGAATATTCCATCCTGTTTCAGCAGAGCTTTCGCGGCCGCGCGCTTGACTTCCATCATCTCTGTATGACTTATGTCAGGCCGAGGAGGTATCGCGTAAAAGTCTAAATCTTCGCGCAAGACAATGATGCCAGCCCGATCTTGAAGCATGTCCCTGGCAGATGCCTGCATGGAATCGGGGGCCACATCCACATCATGGGAGGTCGAAGGGGAAGGCGAAGAAAGCGGAATTGACTGGGCAACCGAGCGGAAGAAATCCAGCATATACTGTAAAGAAGCCGGATCGTACTAGAGATGACAGTATGAGATATAGGGTCCGAGGGACAGCGGAGCCAGAGTCAGGACCACACATACGCCGGCAGGGATTCACTTACGTCAACAGGGTAAATGTCACCTTCATGGAAAGTGCCCATATGTCCATCAGGGAGGAGGCCGTTCGGAAACAACGACAGAAGAACGAATTCCGGCAAAGTCAACAATTCATCGCGGGAAAGTGTAAATCGAGTACCTCTTCGGACATGTCAGTGCCAAGGGTCAAGATGCTACCTGCTTGCGAAGAAAAGAATCAACGCGCATACCTAAGGTCTAGAGTAATGTGCTCATCGCCACCAATGTCTGTAGATAGCGCGAATCAGCCGTGAACTGTTTGACCGGGTGCTGAGAACTGATGAACTTGCATACCTCCTAATGTATTAATCGGCGGCCCTCCAGCCTGTTGTACCTGGGTGATGACACTCGACGCGCCTCCTGCTGCAGCCATGACGTACGTGAAAGATTCGAGTGGACTTGATCCTTCGGTATATGGTGGAGGAGGCTCGCCTTCTTCCGCTGCCTTCGCTGAGGAATCTGGTTTGATGTCTTGAGAGAGCGAGGCTTTAACTTCGGCAACTAATGATGTCGATGATTCCGGTCTGAGGCCCTCGTCGAGTAAAGGATTAACGAGAGCTGGAGTGAGGGTGGAGCCGGACGGTGTGACAGTATCCTTTGCGCGGTTGGAATCCGACGCCGCGACGAAAACAAGAGACGAGAAAGGAGGAGGACTGGACGAACAAAAGCTGGAAGTGGAAGCCTCCGAGCAAGGAGAGTGGGGTGGTGGTGCAGTATAGAAGTCGTCCTCGTCCTGGTCTTCCGTTACGGAGTCCGTCGTTCGATGATGCGGCCGCGCCGTGGGAGGCGAGCCAGAGGAATTCGGTAACCACGACAAGGCGACGAGGTCTATGGCAGAATCAGGAGGTGAGCGCTCGGCGTCTGTCGTTGTGAAGGACTTGCCAGTCGTCTACTGGTCGGTCGTCGGTCGTAGGAGACTTAGGTATGTGCAGTGACGATCAGGAGGAGTCTTTTGGGGTGGGTGCCTCGATCTGTATCATTCAGGGTATTGGCACATAACAGTTGAGGCTGGTAGTTAGATTCGACCTTTATGGTTCTATCAGGAAAGGATGCTAGCAGAATCAAAAATAGCGAAATAGCAAAATTAGACGGAGGGGGTATCTGTAGACGGATTACTAGTTTGGGCGGAGGTGACGCTGAGGAATGTGAAGAGAGGGAGTGGAAGAGGGAGAAGGAGAGGAGAGGAGAGGAGAGGAGAGGAAAGGCGGCAGGGAGCGTTTAGGGAGGGAGGGACAGCAGCAAAGCAGCAATAGTAATAATGATAACAGCCTTGAGCGCGCGGGTAACTACTGAGTGACCACCAAGTAATCTAACTCAGGCGGTACTAGTAAGCCAGGGTAGCTACCTAGTAACCAAAGTATTCAAGTGATGAAAGTGGTCGCTAGCCCGTCCCTTGCCCATCCGTCCTCTCGTCCCAGCTCCATTCCCATTGCATTTAGTGACTGACCATACGAAATGTGTGTAGTACTCTACAGTGCCTATGACTATACTTTGCCTTCGCGCGACCGTAACTCTACCTAGAACATGCACCTTTGAGAAGCCAAATGGCTTTGTTCAGTCCCCTTGTCACATGACCGTCCACTGCAATACCCACCTCACAACAATCTATACTAGAGATCGAGTAGTGTATATCTCATCTTTATCTTCAGTACCTTCTCCTATTCATCTTCAGGACTGCTTTTCAGGGCTGCTTTTCAGGGCTGCTTACTTTGACTACTACCAAATGAAAATTAAGTTAACTTCCCTTTAACCACTAGGTTTGATATACATAGTATGAAACCTTGCCCGCACGTCCTCTTCTTACTCGTATGAATTACCTCGCTCGTGCTTACTTGTACCGCAAGCGCTACTTCAAATTGCTCAACCGCAAGGGCTGCTTGCCTTGACGGCTTGCCTTGAATACAAACAGCGTGAGTCATCTTTATCGTTTGATTTAGTTGATTTGGCAATTTTTGCACCCGCACATGCTCTGCATGCCCTGGACACAGGCTGATTATAATTCATCCGATGGCCGAGACCTAGTGTAAAACAAACATGCTGCCGAGGCTGTCTGCAGACGGAATGGTTAAACGTCGCGCTCGACGTAACTCTGGATGATACCCTCGAGGGTAGGTTCGTACTCTTTGAGCGTCACCTCGTCTCCGTTGAGGATGGTGTTCGCCTGGACGAAGATCTTGCGAGGAACCTTATTCTTCAACACCACCTCGCGGACTTCCTTACCCCACCACGCATCGACAGAGGTAATCTCTTCATAAAGCTTCTTTCCTGAGTCGAAGTCTGCAGTGCTCTTATACACATGCAACTTCTGCAGGTATTTCTCCACAGCCGGTCGACCATGTGACAGAATCTTCGACCGATCCAGGTGAATTTCTAGATCTGAAAGATCCGGTTTACTGTAGGAAAGCTTGACGAAATCGTCACCAGCGTCGAGGAAGGTTCGTAAGATACTGTAGCGGGCCTGCATGTGAGCCTGTCCCCACTTCTGGGTCTTGGGATCCCAAAATTCGAGCGCAACCAAACCGGCGCGAGCCATCGACAAGTAACCCGCGAAGAGAACATCACCAGCATCGTTCGTAAGGTCCACCTGGCCGTCACCAAACCCGAAGAGCTTCAGAATTTCAAAGTCGCAACTAAGCACCATTGCAACGCATTCTGCACGACACTCCTCATAAGACGAAGAGACGGCCCCGAACACAGAACCCCAGGTTTGGCCAGGTTTGTACCACGTTGTGACAGGCTTGTTAGTCACGGGACTTACAGGAGGGTTGGAAATGTCGAAATTATATTGGCCAGGAGACGTCTCTTGCAGTAGCTTTCCAGTTCCATGACCAAGCAGCTCATGAATGCCAACCTGAACCTCAAACGCAGCATCACGGTTTTCGCTGTACACTCTGAGGTCTTTATCGGCTATGAATGGGATGGGCTCGTTGGGTGCTTTAGCACTGAGAACATTCCCAAGGGAAACGTTCTTGAATCCAAGGGTTTGCCGAATGTCATCATAATTGGGAAGGTTGATTCCAGCGGGGAGGCCAGAGCATTGGAAGCTCAACACCTCAAGAGACGTGAAGTCGGGGCTGAGAAATTTATCCTTCTCAAACTCTTTACCCCACGGTAATTTAGGAATCATGGTCTCAGCACCGTCAACCAGCTTGCCGAAAGCGCGGGTTCTCTCCAAATTGACCTGTTCGAGTTAGCCAGTGAAACGCCGTGCCATACATGTTGAACAGAAACTCCTACCAGAGCAACGAACCCTTCCCATTCTCCTCTCACCCCATGAGGGTCCCTGTAGGTTTCGACGAAACCCAGATTGGTCTCCAATACTGGCTTCTGGTCCTTTACCCAGATCCGCTGGCTTTCCTTGAATGCCTCGATGGAGCCAGAACCAAATGAGAGAGCGTAGGCATCCAACATCCGCTTCTGATTATCGTTCGCAGCATGCAGAGAAGCCTGCTTGATACTGTGCGCGACCTTGGCCATCTCCTCTCGATGATCGCCAAAGAGGAGGCGAAGCTTGTGGCCCTTCAACTTGCCATCGAGATCGAAACTATCGACATCGCCCAAATCTCGGTCCCGTGCCGGGGGTGACGAAACACCGGAAGCGATTAGAAGTTCGAAGTCCCCAGTCTCTGTTTTCTTCAGTCGCGTATTCTCCAACGGCAACCCTTTCTGCTCCAAAAAGTCACCGACGGCTGTGATTTCTTCTTTGGTGATTGACGGCGAATCAGGATAATACGTAGTCATATGATTTCCCTCTGCGTAACCCAAGTGCATACGCGATTGTACATCTGTCTCATAGATGCCACCTCCTGTGCTGTTGGCCCGATTGAAGGCGTCCTTTGTCTGGGGGGAGGCAGAAGCTAAAGCTTGGAAGGCCTCAACAGGCAAGCGGGGTATAAACTTAGAGTCGCCAAAGCCCTTATAGTTGCCACAGTTGCCGAGAAACTGCGCGGCATATTCCAGGAAGTAGCGAAGATGCTCATCGCTGACATTGGTTCTCCGAGCAAGATCGGTCCAGTCTCCATTGCAGGTCCGATGAAGTTCAACGATGAGGTCATAGATGGGTTCTGACTCTGGAGAAACCTGGCGAAGTGTGATTCGAGTTCCCTCAAAGGCGGCGCTAGAGAGAAGTTGCTCATGTTAGCTTCCCCGAGACGTGGCCGCTCAGATAGAGAGTTGGCACCGAACCGGCTCATATAATGCGCATATTTACGCAGCTTCGCATCCTTTAGATTATCGAAATGTGTCTTAATTTCTAAGCGGACTACCGAGGGAGGCGAGTCAGCCAGATAATGTTGCTTCACTTTGTCATCCATGTCGATGGGCGGTGTTGTTGTTGTTGTTGTTGTTGTTGTCGTCGCCGTTGTTGTTACTGAGGTTTCTGCACCATCAAGGGGAATTGTAGAGGACAGGTTGCTGGGCCGGGACGAAGAGGACCACCGGATAGGGTGGTAAGGATTGAGGGGTAAGTGCGGTAGTCGGAAGCAGGAGGGGTGGCGGTGGGCCGACGGGAAGCGCCTCCAGGCGCCTCGAAGAGAGTGCATTCGAAGACTACCTAGGATGTCTGAGCTGACTTCCTGCCCAGTCGCAGCTGCTACCGAGTATGGAGAAATCAAGTCACCTCAGCTTGCAAGTCTACACAGTAAGCTTTCTACGATTGAGGGTGCTTGGCAGAAGTGGAGCTTTGGGCTAATCCCTTTGAAAGCTCCACTCTGTTCGGTCAGCGTACCATGTACGTAAAGTACTAGGTACTGCGTAGATATATCTCCATTCAATATACTCGTACATAGTCGGGAGATGAGATACCTCACTGAACCTTGGCCAGCCAATCCTATGAGTGCAAATTATCCGAGAAAAATGTGAAATGTACTGGACAGCAATCTTTTGGATCAGCCATTCCCATACCTCGTAAGTCATATACAGAACAACCAAAGGCCACGTTCTTTTTCTTCGCTGCCAGTCGAAGTCGTACGTTACAGTTATAATCGGGCAGTGGTATGTGGGCAACCGCATGCATTTGCGGTGCTTGCAATCACATTGAGTGACTCGGTAAAATATCGAACAATGAACGTTGGAAGAGGACGAACGGCATTCACGCAACAGCACAGGCCATACACCTCATAGCAAACTCTCATACTTGTCAAGACCTTGTTTTTGCATTCCATGCGGTGGAACTGAAGCATTGCTGGGGAAAGCAGTGGGTGTGATATTGCCACCGAAAGGGGATCGCACGGGGTTCGACGCGCCGGTGGGGTTCGTCAGGGAGCCGACTTGGCCCAGGCCGGCTGGCGGGGGAGGAATTGAGAACGCAGCATAGTTGGGAGCAGATTGCGACTCTTGTCCAGAGATGCCATTATTGACTCTGAGACCGGACAATGATCCTAAGCCATTGCTCGAAGCCCCCGACCCCGGAAGAGGCTGGTGGGGGTTTGAGGAAATCGGTGAGGTCCACGATTGAAGGGCGGGAGAAGTGGGCAGCGTAGGAAGTGCTGGAGTCGAGGGCGAGTTTGTTCTAGCAGCAGGTTGCAAGGAAGGAAAGGAGCTTAGGTTGTAATCAGGTGTGACCGACCGCATGCTGAGATTCGATAGCGTTGGGAGCATGCCTCTGGAAACAGGGCTAGCAACGTTTGGCGACCAAGATGTCCCGGTGGATGAAGTGCTTGGAATGGGAGGTCGTTTCGTTGAGGGCTCTGCAGAGGCGGTACTCCATAGATCGGTATCTTGACCATCAAGGCTGTCAGGGTTTCGTCCCAGGACCAGACGCTCAAAGGTGTCTCGTGCATCCGCGCCAGTTTGATTCATGTCACCTGCGGATTTGGGATATCCCACGGCACGATTCTGAAACTTGGTGCTATCGCCTGCCGATGAAAGTTCCTGCAGCTTCTTTGTCTGTTCACGTTCGATTTTAGAGGAAAGATCTTTGATCAAGCGCATGAAACTGCCGAATTGGCGAAGATCGAGGAGAGGCCCGAGGCTGAAGCTCCATAAGACTGGGAGAAGTTCCAAGGCAAGGAACTCAGTATCTGCCACTGTTCCGACTTGTCGGAACACATTCAGTGCCGCCATCATGACAGCTGGCTCTTTTGTTTTGATGGCCTTCAGTGATGGGACAAGTTTTTCTTGTATTGTGTACTTGTCCAGAATCGATGACTTATTCGACTGGGGTAAATTCTCTGGGCCAATACCTGTGAAGTCATCTCCTAGAGCTTCTTCAGAGTTCACAGTGCCGCCACAGAGGACAGCGAACGCCTCCAAGCAGCGCACTTTAACGGCAAGGCTATTTGTGCGACTGAATGTTGCAGCGATCGGCGGAAAGACCTCATTCTTGACAGTGCTAAAGTCGAGAACGGGTAGAATGACTGGGAGACATTTAATTGCACCCTCTACCAACGAGTGTGTCGGTGAATCAAGTCCCAGGCGGATCAAGGGCAAGATATCTGTTCAAATTAGAATCCGGTCATGTCACATAGTCATTGAAAACATTGACGGATAACTGACCTTCCTTAAACTCCTTCCCGGAGCAATTTTTAGCAACAATGTTCATATTTTCCAGGACCACCATTAATCCAGCATCCTTCTTGGAGTCACGCTCCTGGTGAGCCCCCTTACCAGCCGGAAAGGTCTCTTTCAACTGAGCTATTACCCTATCGGGGAACATACGCCGCGCACTGGGGATGCGTTGAAGGATGGCAAAAACATTACCCAAGACAAGAGGAAGAAGCTCACGATCCTTCATCTCATCTAGCAAAGCTCCCAGAACTTTTCTTTCCAATACAGAGACCGGGAACTCGGGTAACACTCGTTGCAAGCCGCGCATGAATTGCGACTTCTCATTCGGGTTCTTTGCTGGTAGAGACTCCAGGAAACGAATTGTTGAAACCAGAATATTGTCGAAGTAGGGGGATTGCTGGAATTCCCGAGCATTTAGTCGCTGGGCTGGCCTTCGCGTTATCAATCTTGGTAATACATGAGCGAGGATGTCTCTTGGGATTGTGCCCGAAGACAAGAAGTTGTTTCCTTGGGAAGGGGTGGTGGATGAAGAGCTAAGAAGCTTCTTGTATGTGTTCACATTTGAGTGTGTCTGCAATGGAGATACATGGGGTGAGTTATAGAGCGCCACAATCACTAGACCAAGTGAGAAAAGGTCGGCGGCGGGGGTAACATTTGAGTCCAACACAAAGTCCGGAGAGGTATAGTCCATGTTCATCTGGACTGACGCCGGTAAGCGGGGATCTTGATAGAGTACTTCTGACAAGGCAAGCGGTGGAAGCGTCGATCGTGAATCCGATGCAGTTGGAGGGCCAGCAAACCCCAGCCCAGAAATCTTCCAGTCTGATTTAGCATTGATGAAGACGGCTTCAGGATTAAGATTTCCATGAACGAGCCCTGCCGATTCGTGCAGGAACTCGAGACCCTTTGCCACTTGCAACAGACCTTTCTGGATTTCCAACTCATCAAGATCAAGATCTCGTCGCCTCCGCGATCCGTCAGGGTCCTCCACCATGTAACGGCTAGACCCTCCGCGACGGGCATCAGATGCGGCCCTGGCAGAGCTCTCTTGACCATCTTTGACCTTCAAAAGTCCAGCAAGAGAGGCAGTAACCTGTTCAGTAGCAAACATAAGTCCACCGCCACGCGTTTCTTCGAGAGGTTCTAGAACCTGAAGAACAGAGGGATGTCGAAGCCGTGCAAGAGTGCCGGCTTCTCGCTTCAGTCGGTCAACAACATCTTCCTGCAACTTCTTAGTGGAAGCACTGGAGCGATTGCCCAGCCCGCTTGAACGAGTCTCGAGAACCTTCTTATCGAAGATAAAGATCGAAGCTGCTGTGCCTGTGGACTTCTTCTTGCCGTCATGGATCTTCCAGGGTCCTGAAACCACGGTTGGGTGGGGAGAGACTTGATAGTTCGATGTTATGTTAGAGCTCAGAGATTTGAGCGCCGATGAGAACATTTTCGCCTATCAACCCAGATATATAACCGTTTGCGAGAGGTCAAAAAACTATTGACTAGTTCCACTGCATCCAATGCGAAGCTTATGCGGGAGGGCGTATGTTCGGGGAATTGAGATATCACAAGTTTGGAAGAGGAATAAAGTGATGACGCAGCAATGAATCGGGAAAAGGGGAAGTATATGGACAGGAACAGAATATTCGTGAACTGAGGTTGAAGAGGTCTCCTCAGTAAAATAGTAGAGTCCAGGTAGCCGTATTTTTGCTCCAAATTTCCCAATCTCTTTCTCCGCTTCACCTTTCTCTATTCATGTCATGAATGGCATTCCACTTGGTTAAGTTAGTTATCATTCAATGTTCGGGCGGCCAGCTGCCCGCCCGAGGCCTATGTCACGTGCACGAACCAAAGGCCTTAGTTAGTGGTTGGACTGGGCCCGGGGCCCAGCAAAATCAACTGGAACTCTTCGAGCTGACCGCCTTCCTAGATCAATTATTGCCGGGTATCTGTGCCGCTCGACGCCGACGTCGGAACATCGCCTCCAATGACAGCGCGTTAGTCGATTCATCCAAGGGCGAACAAGTCACAGAGCTTTAGACCTAGCTGTGGTCTGTGATAGCACAATTGGAGCAAACTTGACTTAGAAATCGCGGCCTCGCGTTCCAACCTGTGGTCTGGGCATAAGCCATCTATAGATACTAATTAGTCCTTTATCTGTGGATCTTCCGGAGTTGTGCCCCGGGTCCGTTGAAAAAGAGTCATCAAGTACTTTTCTCCGCCTTTTTAAAGCTCCGCAACCGCCAACTCCCAAATTAACCTCAACAGTCTTTGGTGATAGTGCAGCACAGGGTTGACTGAGTGCTCTCTACTTCATTATCTTCACATTTGTTGCGGATCACTTCACGATGCGATCTTTCCAGGTTGCCCGCCGTCGGGCGTTACTACAGAGCTTCGTTGCCCCTGGCGCCTCCCAAAACTCCGCACTGAGTCAATTATGGAAGAGATGCTTCAGCGCAACACCAATTGCTGCTTCCAGCTTAGCTGGTCTTGATCCTTCCAAGCTTACAGTTACCAAGACGAGCACGCCCAAAGAGTTGACGGCCGCCAAGGACCTTGTCTTCGGAAAGACCTTCACTGGTATGGACATTTGGCATTGGCAATGACCTGACACGGCTCGTCTTCGATTTTCGCTAACGTTCTCTCGCCCTTAGACCATATGCTTTCGATTGAATGGACAGCGGCTGATGGCTGGCACACCCCTCAGATCGTTCCGTACCAGAACCTGAGCCTCGATCCCTCAGCCTGTGTGCTTCACTATGCATTCGAGTGCTTCGAAGGTATGAAAGCATACAAGGACAACAAAGGCCGAATTCGGCTGTTCCGCCCGAACAAGAATATGTCACGTTTGAACAAGTCGTCTTCCAGAATTGCGTTGCCCACCTTCGACGGCGAGGCTCTGACCAAACTGA